TTGGTGGTTCAGTCTCAGTTTGGGGGTTTGCCAGGGATTAGACTGAAGGAGAGTCAAGGCCACTAATGCCTGTCACTCTGGTACTAGGACTTCTAGTGGGAGCCATTCTGGAAAGTGAGAAAAGGGCAAGTCACATGTGGCCTCACTGAATCTGACTGGCCATGGAAGGGTCCTGCTGCGCGGGGGACAGTTGACTGCTCCCCATGCGCACAAGCTCCACATGGTGACAGCTCAGAGGATGGGCCGGATCCACACCGGCTTGGAGGTCACGGGAGGGGAGTTGAAGGAACCGAGGGCAGCCCTGTTTGCACAGAAGGGGAGAGGGTGGCAGATCAGATGTCTGAGGAGGGCTGGGGGCCAAAGGGTTTTGGGACTTTGAGGGTGCAACCAGCGGTGGGGTTGTTGAGATTGCTGATGGTTGTTGTTGGACTCAGCTCTGGAGGGAACGTGAGCCATTTCCAAAGTTCCTCATGCATGGGGGTACGTGACCTGAGAGGTCAGTAGCTCACGAGGCCCAGCAGGAATTTCTCTGGAATACATTGTGGCGTTTGAATTGAAGCCACCCCACCCTGCTCAGGTCTCCCCCATCTCCAGTCTGCTCACTTATTGCCGCCAGTTGTTGGCTGGCAGCTGGGGAAGCGCCACCTGTCAAGATGCGCAGCAGTAAGCAGGAGCACCTGTGTGCTGGTCTTCCCTCACGCACCCTCCTCCTCGTTTCCATCCCAGGGATCTGGAGGGCCCGCTCCGGGGCAGCCAGCCGTGTAGGAATCTGCAAGAACACTTCCTCAGCGAGGTTGTGGGCTGGTGACCCCAGATTCCTCACCTGAGGAATGTTCTGGGTAGGTGCTTTGGCGTTGTGGACACCTAGTGAATGTCAACTGTTCTCACGATTTGGGCTCCTTTAGCCTCTTTTGCCCAGGGACTTGCGGGCCCCACAGTGGCACTAGGAGTCTGCCATATCACTGCCAACTGCTGCTGAAGATAAAAGCAAGAGAGCTGGCATTTATTGACCATCTGCTGTAGGCCAGATTTTGCCTTAGTGGGTAACTGCACAGTACCTCTCTCCCGGGGTTGTCTAGAAGATTGCCTGCACCCAGCCCATTAAATTTTCTGGAGTACCTGGGACTGCTTTTTATCGTCCTCCTTTTTTAGAGTGAAACCAAGATTCCGGGAGGTTTAACCCATCATTCAGCTAGCAGATGTCCATGCCAGGACTTGAACCTCAGCCCTCTTTTTTCTACCTCACCAGGCTATGGCCAGCTATCGGTGAGGCCCCTGCCACACACCTTTTTTCAGTCTCCTTTGCCGCCTCTTTTTAATGGAAAAAAATACTGTTTTATCTGAATATATCTAGAATCCAGCTACTTAGGTTGGGCCATGTGATCCTATCTGACCATCGTGGTTCAGGCTGATACTTGTCTCCACTGCACAGCCTCCCTGCTCCAGGCCCAGGGCAGGCCTGCCTGGATACCAACAAGGCCTCTGATGGGGCTCCCGGCATGGCAGACTCTCTGTCTGCCGGACCCACCCTCCTCATTTACGCTAACCAGCACCCAGAGGATGTCAGAGGCCTGTGCAGGCACCTTTCCCGCCTCCAGGACCTTCCTGTGACCTGGACCCCTACTTTGTTCAATGCAGAGTTTCAAGATTTTTTTTTTTTTTTCTTTAACAGAGTATTTGGGGAGGGCAGCAATACCTAGTTCTGTGGGAACACCTTATCGTAACTGAAGGAAGTTGCAGGTCTGTGAACCAGGGTTCTCCGTGGTGCCTCTTGCCTTCAGCAGCAACTGTGCCTGCCCTGCTGGCAATTTCCTCTTCCTGCTCCTGGGAGCGCTGAGTGGCTCTGCTGCCAGCCACCCTGGTCCTTCCTCATTGCCCTGGTGAAGCCAGGTTGCACCTTCTCTGTGCTCCTGTCTCAGCAACCAGGCAGGGAGATTGGGAGATTCCAGAGCTGCTGGTAAACAGCCTCCCCCAGACCAGAGCAAAACAAACACAGTCCTTTGAAGCATGATTGCCAAGTTCAGGGTTTGTACCAGTGATAGCAAAACTGACATTGTGTTATTCTGCATTTAGTTTACAGAGTAATTCCTCATGCTTATTTGCCAATCAAGTACCCAAAAGATTATGAAATGGGCTCTGGAACCTAATTCTCTGGGTTCAATGCCAGCTCCACTGCTTACAAATTTTAAATCTCTTGGGTTTTTTGTCTTCATCTGTAAACTTCAGTGGAATTTGACCTTGAATCCTGGTGTCCTCTGGCTTCTTGATTACTCTCTGGCCGAGCAAGAGTAGCTTGTGCAGAAGTCACTCTTACCCCTCCGGTTGCTTACTGTCTGCAGCCCGTGACATACTTTCTCTTCCATTCCTTCCGCCCCTTAAAGCAAAGGTGGTAGACAGCAGCTCCGGGGTATTTTTATTTGAAACATAGTATTTACTGAAATAGTTAGAGTTGCTTTGAATTGCAATTCGAGCTTTCACTTAAAATCTTGTGTTTTTACTTAAGGAAAAATCAGAACACACGGTACCTTTGAGCCCCGGAACTGTAGAGTTACCAGTAAACTGGTATTGGAATGGCTGTACCCCTTACCCTGCAAGGTGGGGAAGGGGTTCTCCCTGCCCCTTGTGTCTTACAGCCACTCATGTCTCCTTGAGTCTCCCTGCCTGGCCTTTTCTGCGTCTGAACTCACTCCCCTCCCTGCCTCAGCATGACACCCCCAGAACTGATTCATCAGTTAGGACTGGCACCAGTGACATTCCCAGACAGATTATTTTAGAGCTCAGAGACGCAGTCTTCAGGTACATTTAGCACCTAAACCTAAGTCTTACTAGGAAACCAGGGCTGGTTTGTGCTCAGGCATCAGTGTCCCTCTGTAATGACACACTGTGACAGAATATCAAGCTTGGCCACCAGCCTGGAGCTGTCTCCTGAGCCACCCCCACAGCCTGCGGGGCCTCAGCTGGAGGGAGCCAGAGCTTCCTCTATGATTCCTGTTGCTGAGGGGCAGAAGCCAAGCCACAGAGCACTCTCTCATAGGCCCCTGTGAGAGGCCTACAGGCTAGGAGCAGAGTGTTTGCTCTGAGTCGTCTAGATGTTTCTTCTCTCTTTCCTTGGGTGTGTAATTGAAGGCCTGAGTAGAAGGCTAGGAATTGTTGCCTCGCTTGAGTCCAATTAATCAATTTCATGTCCTCTAACTCACTCTGGATTTGAGTTGTGACTTGTAGAGCTGTGTTCTGGGGTTGCTGAGGTAACTAATGCCACCTCCAAACCCTTGGCTCTCGAGAGTCTGTAAAGAAGCTTCACACATTCAGGGTAGGGCTACTTGGCCGGCTGCTTGGTCACATGATGAGCCCATGGAGCCTGCCGCATAGGAAGACGCAGGACTGATGACACCAGGGTTCTGCGTATTTAGAGGGTGTGTGTCTCAGTGAGCCAAAGCTTGTTCTCCTGAAAATAAGACTGTTTCTTTGAGACTGATTTCTCAGTAGTGACATTTTATATCCGTAACCCTAACTATGTAATTTAACCTTCATGGTAAAAGGTTTTTAGATTAATTTTAATTCATAAAATTATATATGCTTTAGCACAGTATGAAAATGCTTCAGGTCACTGAGTGTGATTACAATGGTAGATTGTAAATTTGTGTTTTTACCACAGTTTTCAAGAAGTGTATGTGCTTATAGAAAATATGGGGGAAAATTAAAGTATCATCCCACTACTTAGACAGTTTTCAATATTTCATCATATCTGTTTCCAGTATTCTGTGCACAGATTTACATAGTTGAGATGTTATTGTATTTTTTTAAATCTTGTGTTAGCTATCATTATGCAGAATAGGGAATAGCTAGAACAAATTGTGGAGCTAAAATGTCCGAGTCCCCATTCTGGTTCTCCAGTTCCTGATTTGCAACTGCAGGCAAGTTCCCCAACTTTTCTGTAAGTTGACTTCCTCTTCTAAACCAGTAGTGACTCTAACCCTGGAGGAGAAAGACAGCTCTGCCCCAGGGGACACTCGCCAATGTCTGGAGCCCATTCTGGTTTTCACATTGCCCAGGAGGTTGCTCCTGTCATCCAGGAAGCAGAGGCCAGGGCTGGCTAGACCTACTGCAGTGCACAGGCCGCTTCCCAGATGCCAGTGGTGCCAAGGCTGAGAATCCTGCTCAATTAGAGATGCAGAATACAGTGCGCACCATGTAGGATTAAATTAGTTGAAATACATGAGGTACTTAGAATGAGGCCTCGCTCAGAGGAGCTGCTATCACTGTTGGCTGTGGTTCAGGTTGTTATAGCCACTTCACATCACTTAAGAGCAGCTTTGCTGCACTAAAAAAAAAAAAAAAAATGCAGGCAGGGCGCTCCCTGTTGGCACAGCAGGTTAGAGCACAGCACTAAGAAGCTAGAGCCACTTCAGCATGAGTTCGATCCCCGCCCCGGAGGTGACCCACATGGCGCGGCAGACCTCTCCTGACCTGGCCGCTGCTCCCCTCAGCAGTATACTTTGTTGATCTACTTATTCTGCTCCCCACTCTGTCCTGGTGAATCCTCTCACCACCCTGTACCTCTGGCCTGTACCCCAGTTGTGTATGCAAAAATAAATAAATCTTGTTTAAAAAATAGCAGTTTTTGGGCCCTCCCTGGTGGCGCAGTGGGTTAAAGCACTGCACTGAGAGGCTAGAGCCACTTCCGCATGAGTTCGATTCCCGCCTGCCCCGGAGGAGACCACACGGCGCGGCAGACCTCTCCTGACCCGCCCGCTGCTCCCCTCAGCAGTGTACTTCGTCGATCTGCCTGTTCTGCTCCCCACTCTGTCTCTGGTGAAGCCTCTCACTGCCCCTGAGCCTCTGGCCTGTACCCCCGTTCTGTATGTACAAATAAATAAATCTTTAAAATAAAAAAAAATTAAAAAAAATAGCAGTTTTCAGTGCTTTCTGAAAATCTTTTAGTAGTTTTTGTAATATAAATATTACATGCTTCTAACATACCTTTCTTTCTTCCCCTCCAGATGAAATTAAAGCAGAATTAGAAAAGCAGAGGTAAGCAGGGACACACTCTCCTTGCTGGGATACAGGGAGCAGGGAGTGGCCATGGTGGGCACTGGGAACTTTTTCTCTGCATGTTTCTACTGTTCTGATCCTGGGAGTAGCACCTGCTCTCCCAGCACAGTGCCGGGCATGTGGCAGGACTCTGGAGGTGTTTGATAGTGCTGGGTTCACAGCACTGCCCAGTAGAAGGTGTTCAGAGAAAGGGTAAGGAAGGTCGAGTTGCTCCTGCTGTGCCTTTTCTTGATGGGAGAGGCAAAGTCCTGACCTCTTGTGTGTCCTGCTTCCTTAGGCAGGACAACTTGCCCTGTATGTGGCTGTTCCTTCTCTTCATGGCAGTGAAGCCAGTTAGTGACATTTCAGAAGTCCCACAGAGGCCCGGCCAAGCCACGGGGCTCCAGGATGCCTTCACTGCGGCTTGCTAGTCCAGAGAGACCTTGTTCTCTGCATGTGGCACTTGGTGTCTGGCCTAATTCACAAGTTAATTGTCTAATCCCACAAATGCAGTTTGCAGGCACTTCTAATTAAATGATTAGGATAGAGTTAGAATAAGGAGTAGAAAAACCAGTTTTAATTTCTTCCTTCCCTCTCTTACCCTTTCCTGTGTTCCTCCCAGGCTTGGCGCTGCCGCACCACCAAAGGCAAACTTCATTGAAGCTGACCAGTATTTCCTTCCATTCGAGCTAGCTTGCCAGTCCAAGTCCCCCCGGGTGGTCAGCACGTCCCTCGACTGCTTGCAGGTACCGTGTTTAAGCTTGGTTGTGGTGAGGGAGTTCTCTCCAGGCCACCGGAGTGAAGTGTCCTTACACAGGAGCTGTGCCGGCGAGCCCCTGTGCCCAGAATGCTCTCGGGGACAGAGGAGGGTATCATCCAACATGCTCTTTGGAGGTTTGTGAGGGAGGGAGCAAAGGGATCTGACCTTTTTTTTTTTTTTAATGAAAAGAATTGGTTTTTATAGAAACAGTTCATAGGTTTATTTTTTAATTGAAGTTACATGACATAATACAAGTTTCAGGTATTCATTGTGGAAGATCAACTTGTGTATATAGTGCATTAAGGTTGCTGCTAAGAGTCTAATTTTGTGTGTTAAATGAAACCTTAAGCATTAATTGGAATATTTGGTACACACGGGCACATAAGATATTTTTATGCAGTCACTTTCTTGATGGCATTAAAATTCATGATATGAAGTACAGAAATAGATATGATTGATTCTCATTACTTGTGGTAATGTGTAAAGTTATTGCAGATGCTGAATTAGCAAATACTAAACCACTGTTTCCAGAAGAAATGTAGGGCTAAGTTCCTACCAGCTTCTGGTCACCATCTGTTAGCTGATCATTGTAGAACCTTGTTTTATGTTTTTCCTGTCTATTACTGTTTGATTAACAGTCACCAGCACTGGAATCCATGCTTGAACAGTACCTATCCAACACATACAATTTCTCCATATGGCACAGTAGTGCCCTCTTGCTCTTGGGGACACTAGCTAGCACTTAAGCATTATGCGCAGGGTACATTTTCAGTGACAGAAACACCCCCCAAAATGGAAAAGCAAGACACAAAAAGAGCTGAAACAAGTGTCTCCTTGTTCAGCCTCATCCAGGAATGTGCATATCAGGTGGTCCAAGTTCTTCACGCTCTGCATGTGTCTGCCATGAGCGCACAAGAGTCACAGTCAGTACTTTGCAGTATACAAGTAAATTTCAGTGCATGGTGTGGGTGCATGTACAGAATCTGCAAATAGTGAGGATTGGCTGTTTAGAGCCACAGTACTCTCGTTATCAGTTACCTTTTCTAGATGAAGCAGCAGCAGAGCAGTACAGAGAACTTTGACTGGCCTTTCCGATAACATATGGACAGTGAGAGGCCGTCTCAGCACTACAGCTTGGGTTTCTTGATTCTTGGTCCAGCAGCCTTATATTTATTCTAAAGATTTACTCCTTAGGTTCTAGTTACATGAAAAAAAAGGATTCTTAACCCCAGTGGGCACCCTACAAGTGAAAACTTGACACATTTAAAAAGCACTTTGAAGAGATTTAGCTTCCAGTACTTTCTAGAACAGCAGTCGTAGTAAGGCTCTATGATATGATTGCTAGAAGCTGTGTTGAAAGATGATCTGTAGCCTCCTCTGGGTTCTTGAGAAGTGCTGTGAATTGACTGGTTATGTCTGCTGAGGCACAAGGCTGTGAAGTGGCAGTGGGCTTAACACATTTTTGGCATTTCTAGTCTAGTATTTACTCCATTAATCGGTTTTCTTTGCTATATCTGTACTTGAAGATTGATGACAGTTCCTTCACAGAAGCAGCCCTTCCAAACGAGAAGCCATTTTCTCATTCACCGTATTTCTGTGCAGATTGTCCTATATGAAACATCCAGTGAGCCAAGAATTCTCGTATGGCAGATTTAAGTCCTACTTCTAGCCTAAAATATTTGTTGCTGTGAACATTTTCTGAGGAAATTTGGCATAAGTGAATTTCCCTTATTTTCTCCTCATGTTGAAGTTTAGTTTTGCAGTTAATGCTGATAACCAACTTGATCAATAGACCGAGAACAGTGGCTAACGTGTATGGAGCCGCAGCCTGTATTCAGCCCATAGCAACGGCTGTGCCCATTTGTTTATGTATCATCTGGGGGACTTCCCTGCTCGTACCGCTAAGTTGACTATTACAGCTAAGTGGCAACCATCTGACTTACAGAGCCTAAGTGTTTAGTATGTAGTCCTTTACAGAAAAAAATGCCCACCTTCCGCCTTTACTATTACTCTATAGTTCTGGTCCCTTTAGTTAGAAAATATGTTGCTTTCCTAGAAATAGTGTTTCTGGCACTCGGTTTCTGGAAGTATCTTACCTGATGGAAACATTGACGTCTTACTTTACTTCAGCTGCTGTCTTGAGTTGTTCCCTCTTGTGTAAAGGTGTTGTTCCCTGCCGTGGGTCTTTTTAGGATGGGAGTTCTCTGTAATTTAGTAGGTGCCCTGGTTCCTTTAGTTAGTATACAAAACTCAAAATGTTTCGGAAAGTACCCACAGAAGTGTGGAGTACGGAATGAAAAGCCGTTTCCTCCTGGTGGTCGACCTCGAGAAGCCTGTGTGACAGGCTTTTGCCGGTGTAGGTGTGGTAACTCCAGTGTTGAAAATGGGAAGCCAGCACCTAGGGGTGCAGATTGGTGGTGGCAGATTTGGGCCAGCCGCAGACGTGCCCCGAAATGTCCTTCTGTGAGCCTGGAGAGGGTGGGGTGGCAGGGTGCTGAGTTTGGGTTGCCACGCACACCGTGAGCGCCACCACCTTCCCTCTCCGCTGGGAGAAGCCTGGAGCCTTTCCTGGCTGCAGCTTCTGCTGCTGTGGAGAATCTGCTTCCTCCTTTGGCACCTGCTCTGCTATCCATTTCCCACGGCTTGTCCAAGCTGGCAAGTGGACTTCAGCATTTTCTGGCACATATCATTAACGGTTTTTTTAGGACATCCTCACAATTTATTCATTCATATTTCATCCATTATATGATTATATACATGTACTGCTGTTATTAAATTATGTGTTATAAAAAAATATAGAACTAGCACTCTTGAAAGAATACTACAAGGAGAAATAGAAATTGAGTTCTAATGTTGTCTTGCTGTGTCCCAGTGAAGGCTGTGGGAAGCTAATGGTCTGAGTCAGCCTGTTCATACTACAAGCATTACCTGTTAGCCCTTATTTCTAGAAAACTTTGGATTTTTTTAATGTACATTTTAAAATCCATTTTTAATTCTCTTAGTTACATATGAGCATTATTCTTGAATATTTTGACAGATAATGCTAAAGCCTCTTGGACCCCGAGCCCAGTTGCCTACTTCCACATAGAATGTTCTTTTATGTGTGTGTGTGTGTATGTGTGTGTGTTTTATATATATATAGAGAGAGAACCATTTGTATAAATTTTTGTGTCCTTGCGTTCAGCAGTTTTTAAGAGCCAACTGTATCACTGCATATAAACACAAAGCAAGTCTTTTGACTGTACTTCGTCACTTCTACATTACCACTGTACATGTGTGGATGTTTTGTCCCTGCCTTATAGAGGGGTACTGAACACGGTGACAGGGGCCGTCCCTGTCAGGCAGCCTCCACACACGCATGTGTCAGTGAACCAGCTGCCCAAAGGCCTCCTCTGTCCCTCTTCCACCCTTTCACTGCATCAGCAAGGAGTAGGTAGGAATGTCTACTCTCCATTTCTGTCACCCCCACAAAGTCCGGGTCACCAGCATCTTCCTCAAGACAGTTAAGAGAGTCACTTCACAGATCCCTTGTCTCTACTTCTGGTGCTTCCAGCCTATTCTGCACATCAGAGGAGCCTTTAATAGTCTGTCACATCATGATCATTCTTTGCCTTCACCTGCCAGAAGCTTCCCACCACACTCACTGTACAAAGTACTTGGCTCAAGCGAGCTTGCCAAATGTGCTCATGCTGCTGAACCTCTGATGTGTTTCCAGGCTTTTCTGTTTGCATTTACAAAAATACTTCTACACATACTCACCTCATCATTTTCTAAAAATGAGATTTTGCTGTGCTTATCATTGCAACCTGCTTTTTCACGATGTCTGCAAATCATACAGGGCCCTGTAGGTCCCAGTCAGTTCTTTTGGCTTTGGTCTGTACCCTGGAAAATATAGACCCTGAGAAAAAGGACGATTTTACTCATGACTATGCTCTCAGTGCCTAGAACATATTAGGCACATGAATAAGAATAAGAATAGAACATATTAGGCACAAGAATAAGAAGGTAAGGTTTTGGGGGGCCTTCTGATGGTACAGGGGGTTAAAGCGCACACTATGAAGCTATCCGCTGCCACTGCAGTACAAGTTCAATTCCCGGCCAGGCAGCTGACCCACAGGGCGCAGCAGACCTCTCCTATCTTGCCCTGTGCTCCCCTCAGCTGTGTATTTCAGTGTATCTGTCTGTTCAGCTCCTCAGTGTCTCTGGTGAATCCTCTTGCCCCTCCCCTTCACATCTCTGGCCTAGACCCCAATTATTGCATACATCAATAAATAGATCTTAAAAAAAAGAAGGGCTTGGAAGGCCCACAGGATGCAGGAATTCTGCTTTCCTCTGGCCCAGTCCCACCCACAGACAAGGAAGTGAAATCGAACTTTACACCCTTTCTATCTTAAGAACAGGTGCCTCTGAAGAATCCTGTAAAAAGAACATTTCTAGTCTCTGATCAGGTTTGAATGAAACATCCAGCATTTTTGCAGCTTGAGTATAGGGTTCACTGGGGCCTCCCTTTCAACATTCACATTTTAGGACTGTATAGAGCTGTCTCACTCATCACTTGGTACTCAGACGGACATGAGTATTAGGATAAGGAGTAAGGAGAGTCAAAAGCCATAACTGATTGGCCGGGTACCCAGCACAGCCCTCTCGGAAGCCTGCATATACTGAGCAGTGAAAGGGGATGAGAAAAGGGCATCTGTTCTTAAAAAATGCCCTTTAGCACGGCACCCACCCCCATCTGGAGATGCCTGGGATTGGACTAGGTCAGCAGAGTGTGCCAGCCTCTGTCCTGTCCATGCAGACCCTTTTTCTCCCCCCACCGCACCCAGAGCATCACATTTCTACTTGTGACTACTCTCTCAACTATTTTTCTGCCTGCTGAGTGGTGGCACTTTCAAGGCTGATGGTGGGAAAAGCCACTGAGATGGGGTGTCAGGCCTGTGCAGGATGGCAGTCTTCCTGTCACAGAGTGGTGGCCCTGTAGATGACCCTGGCCAGGGTTTGAGTTTCGGGTTCTCCATGACAAAATCCAGATATGAGTAAGGTCTTGTATACCTTTGGATTACTAGAGTCAAGGATGTGACTAGGGTACAAAGCACAGGCTTGTTTTTAAGAGACTGCACTCTGTACAAGAAGCAGAGATGCCTCAGACTGCAGGTGTCCCAGAAGGCTGAGTCCGAGCGGTGTTTCTTTCACTTAGCTAGCCATCAGAATAACCTGGACTTAGAATGATGCTCTTTCCTAGAATGTGTAGGTTCTAGTCCAAGAATGTGTATTTTTAAAGAGCTTCCTCGGGATTCTGCATCTCAGCCAACCTCGGAAAGCACCCTGCCCTTTGCGTTTCGGGTTCTCCATGACAAAATCCAGATATGAGTAAGGTCAGCCAGGCAGGTGGCCTTTCAAAGGTGTACCCTGGCCAAACCATCTGTCAGCTGACCAAGAAACAGCCCTATGCAGCCACTTGTCTCCAGCCATATGGGTGACACTGTTCGAGGACATCGGTGTGGATAGTATGCTGTCATGATTCAGCATTCAGAAGGATCAAAGCGTTGAGGCTAAAGTGTCTTATCCCATCCCTGCCACCGTGTAGATTTCTCCTCCCAAATAAAATCTGCCATTTTAGTTTCTAATGTTCCTTTCCATGTGGAGAAAGTATCTATATGTTTTTAAAAGAACTTGAAAAGAAATAATTCAGTACATGCTGTTCACCCACTGAAGGTGTACAGTTCAGAGATTTTTATGTTTTAGCAAATGTGCAACCACTACACAGTCTCATTTTACACCACCCCATCACCACAAAGAAACTGGGACTCATCAGCAGTCACTCCCCATTTTGCTCTGACACCGTCCACAGGCAACCACTGACCGCTTTTGTCTCATTTATGAGTTGTTTTATTCCCTCAGATTTTCATACAAGCGGTTATAGAGCGAACATTCTGGGGACTGTTCTATACCTTGTTCTGCAGTTTCACCATCATGGGGATTTTGCCATAGGGAGACAGGGTGAGCACTGTCCTCATGGGGTGCAGTGCCCACCACACCCCAGGGTAGCAGAGGAACTGTGGCAACCGGAAGTTAAAGGCCACTTGCCTGCCTGAGTGTTACTACCCTGGGTGGCCTCGGTCCTGGTCAGGTGGAAACTTCTCACCCCTGTTCCTTCTGTGTCCAGAAACTCATCGCATACGGCCACATCACTGGCAACGCCCCGGACAGTGGAGCCCCAGGGAAACGGCTGATCGACAGGATCGTGGAAACCATATGCAATTGTTTTCAGGGCCCTCAGACCGATGAAGGAGTGCAGTTACAAATAATTAAGGTATTTCTGTTTGCCTGCTCTGGCTTTTAAATGAGAAAGCTAGGCCCTTTGGGAACTTAGGTTTCTGACTCATCATATATAAGTTGTCTCAAGTAATGCTGAGCTGGAACAGAAAAATGTAAGCATCACTTAGCTCTTTTGTTAAGTGTCAGGATTTATTAGCCAGGATGGAGACAGGAAGAGTGGAACCAGGTGTGTTTTCAAAGTAAACAGTCGCACTAATAATACTGTAAGATACAAATTAAATCAATTTGAAATCCTCTTCGAATTCTGGATTCCTGTTCTGACATTTCTACTCAGGTCTTTGTTGATTCTCACTTAACCAATTTGGCTCATAACCTCCTGTCCCCCTAAACTGCTGCCCTGTTCCATTCTGCTGGGTGGTAAGGGGTGCTACTATTTGCTTGCTGAGAACAGGAACAGATGGGGTATGACCAGGGCCCCAGGTCTTAGGTCCTGAAGAGTGTTAGCTTGGTCACGATAGCACCTGGTTAGCCACACCTTTCCTTGAAAGCCCTTAGGAGAACTGGGAAATGGACCCTCTCCCCTCCTCCCCCCATCAAATCATGAATATTTTGTGATTAATGTGAGGTAATTTTTCAAGTTGGAGCATTTTCCCTCCTGAGAGAAGTGTCTCTAGTTTTAGCTTTTTAAAAAGTGGATAGAAAGCCCACTTCAGCATAATTGCTTCAAATAATTACAAATCCATCTCCTTAAAATTCATAAAACTAACCCAAACCAAACTCAACCCCATAGAAGAATCTGGCAGTGTGAGAGTTGGGAGTTGGATAGGTAGGAAGAGTCATAGAGGTGAAGGGTGTGGATTTTTGTTTTAGGCTCTTCTGACAGCAGTGACGTCTCCGCACATTGAAATCCATGAGGGTACTATCCTGCAGACAGTTAGGACATGTTACAATATCTACCTGGCCAGCAAAAATCTCATCAACCAAACCACTGCCAAGGCTACTCTCACTCAGATGTTGAACGTCATTTTCACCCGCATGGAAAACCAAGTGGTGAGTTGCTGGTACTGGAACAGTTTCACTGTGGCCTTGGGGCCTGGCAGAAATCACTTGGCATTTTGAAGTCTATCGCTGTGCCTCTGGGGTCTCTGTACGTGACTTTCTACCCTTCTATTAGATTTTACCCTTCTGTCAGTAAGCTGGCATCTTCTCTATTCTATGTCAAAACGCTGTGACCACTCAGACTGAATTCCTTGCTTGTTGCTTTTCAGTTGCAGGAGGCCAGAGAACTAGAGAAATCAACCCAGTCAAAACCGCAGTCCCCTGTGATCCAGGCTGCAGCCGTGTCCCCAAAGTTGAGTCATTTGAAGCAGAGCCAGGAACAGAGCAAGCCAACAACTCCTGAAAAAACAGATTTAACCAACGGTGAATATGCCAGCAGTGGTTCTGGAAAAATGAGCTCAGAGAATGGAGACGCCCCCAGAGGCAGAGGCCCTTCACTGTCAGGTACGCCTCACGCTGCCGCCTCTCAGCTTTGAGAGGGGCTCGTCCCGTGTCTGAGGACCCGCCGAAGGACATGGGCAGCTGGTGTCATGGGCAGCTCCTCTCTCTGGGCCTTGCCCTCGCCACCCGTCGTGGTCTTCCCTCAGCGTGCACCCGCCAGGAGGCCACGGTCCGCTGTCCCGTAATCTTCTGTATTTTCCTCTGAACAGCGCCTGGCTTGTGTCTGGCTGCTGCTGCTTGGCACCAACTTCTGCGCTTCAGGTTCAGTTGGGGACATTTGTCTCTTCACAGTTAATTACTGAGGTAATTGGTTGCTCCTTGCCCGTCTCATCCACCTGGAAGAGGACAAGGCCCTCCTCTGTGCTGTGTACTCAGGGCAGAGGGCAGTGGCCACTGCCTGGCAGTTAGGGGCTGCCTAGGCATGTGTGAAAGGAGTGAGAAGGTGGGTGGGTGGACAGCTAGACAGCTGGATTTGTTTTCGTTTGTGACCTAGTGTGTTCATTATTTTTTTATGCTTTTTCAAATGAAAGAGATATCCCATGCTTGATTATAGTTTTAAAGTAAATACCGGGTGTGAAATCTTGAGTTGTGTTGTCCTAAGATTATTTTTAATGTTTGCAACTCTCCCTGAGCAACTTGTGTGAACCAGACCCAAAATTCATACTTTTCTCCTTCACAAGGAGACTGTCAAATACTTCTTAACTCTGGTCGGTTATTCTGCGTGGAACCTCTGGCCTGTCTCTGTACTTGCTCTCCTATCTCTTCTTCACATTATTGGTAATGACTGTGGTGGTGGCATGTTCCTGACTAGAGCAGCTTTTCTTCTCTGGAATTTACCGGAGTGCTTGGCACACATAAGAGCAGAGAGCATTCTTGCTGGAATGCTGCTCTGAGTCCATTCACTCAGTGAAGAACAAAAGGGAAAGTTGCTGGCCGAGTGGCATGCCACAGGGCGAGCAGAGTGGCCATCTTCTCTGTCCTGCTGTTGTATGTCAGGTGTTGGGAAGGTGATTGGGAACTCATGCCCCTCCCCCCTACATGTCACCTTTGCCTTCTTAACTAGAAGGGCAAGGAGCAGGTTTTTACTGTAAGCCTTATCAGGCTGCAGTCAGTCAATAAACATTAATATTTAAGCATGCCGTGGTGCGCAGGCTGCAGCTAGAAGAGCAAGACTCGCAGCTGCAAGCTCGTTCCCACTGCAGCCTGCTTTCTCCACCAGCCACAGCGACCTGGCAAAAGCATGAATTAGATCACAACCCTCCTCTGCTGAGCCCTTTGGTAATTTCCTGCCCTGTGTTCGAGAGAAATCTGTTGTCAGCTCTGGATCCCAGGGCCCTGGAGACTGCCCCTCTTGCCTACCTGTCTCCTTGCACCTCTTCTGCCTTGTTTGCTGCACAGTGCACAGGCACGGGCTCTGGCTCAGGAACGTGTCTCAGGGCCTCGGCACTCAGTGGCCCTCCCCTGCAACTCTCCCAGCTGCCTTCGCTTTAAGTCTGACAGTTCAAACTGAGAGGGGCCACCCTCATTACCCTCTTGGGAGCTGTGTCACTCTGTCCCATCATCCTCTCTTATCAATACCTGAGATTAGAGGAATCTGTTTACCTAGGTCTGAGACCTACGTCATCCTGTTCACCACTATTATCTCCAACACCTGGAAGCAGACAATAAATGATTTTTTTGATTAAAGGGGAAAAAAAATTTTTTTTTTTGAGAATACAGTTTTGCAGAAACACAGTAACGTAGCCTTGTGCTCTAATGTAGAAAATGACTTGTAGTTAGGTCTCGTGTGGCTTTTGTTGCCTGTACTCATACACCGTGTAAGGCTTCTCCCAAGACCTGGGGATCAGGTTGCTGGTGAGATTCAGACTGCACACCTGTGGTTGGTAGGTCAGAGTGGAGGTGAGCAAACACATGCAAGTTTAAGGATACTTGACTCATTTGTAGTTCCTTGCATCTCTTCAAGGGAAAAAAGCAAGGCAACTCTGTAAGTACCGTAAAATCAAGAAAATGCAAGCGGCGTCCTCCCCCCACCAGTCACAGAGGTTCTGAGCAGACAGTCTGAACTCAGATCCTGGCCCTGCTGCCTCCTAGCTCTGTGGGCTTGGCTTAACCTTTAACCACACTAGCCTCAGTTTCCTCATCTACAAAACAAGGATGCAGCTAGTTGCTATATTGTAGGTCTGTGAGAATTAACCTCTAAGGGCAGTATCTGACGCTAGGGATTATATTATCTTTCAGATGCATGTCAGGTTTAATGCTGAGCTAGTTTAAAGAAAGATAACCACTATTTCAAGTGGTCATCCGAAAGTGGGCCTGTTTCCATATTAGTAATACCAAGATCTCAGCTTCAGGAACTTCATGATTTTTTTTTTTTTTTTGCTGAGCAACAACAAAATAGTTGTGTTAGGCTGAAGCGTCATAAAAATAACAACACGTTCCCCCAGCCCCCATTCTTTCTGACTTGCTTGTGACATAACTGCCTTACAGGGAAGTGTTCTGGCTCATTGGTTTTCAGCATTTTGATTAGCTTTGCAATGGACATTTATCTTGCCAATAAGTTCTCTTAAGTATTTCTTCCTGTAAAGGAACCGTATTGACACGTGGCCAGAATGTGACAGCAGACAGCTTTGTTCTCTGGTTTTATTCTTTGTATTTTTACATATTGTTAAGTGCTTGGGCATTGGGCATAACTAAATGCTAGGAAAATGCATGTCACATTTTATTCCCAGGTGTTCACATTATCCCTTCCGACTCCAGATGTCCCTCTTCCCACTCTGCATTTTCCCTGGCACAGTACCATACGGTACAATTTATTTCTTTATTAGCTCCAGCTAGAATGTAAGCACCTTGAGGATAGGAATCCTCAGTGTTTACATCAGTGTTTTAAACGCTGATGTCATTAAAATACCTGGTGGCTGAATGAATGAGTAAGTGTCTATTCGCCTGCCCCCATCCTCCACGGCCCCTACTTCATTGGCCAAAAAATAGGACATGGGGAGGCCTGTCTCAGATTCCATCTATTTTTGTCCCATTATTCTTAGCATAGAATTTCCATCCTCAAAGTCACCTTATGGTTCAGAAGGCTACCATTTTGTTCCAGAAGAAAGGACTCCTAGCTGAGTCACAAGCTGGGGCAAGAAGTCTTCCTGGAAGGTGCCCTCACCAGTAACGGCTGCTTACCCGTTACTGAGTAGGTTGGTCACATGGCCATCCTTTCTGCTAGGAAGTCTGGGAAGGTGGGCACAGCCCCTTCCAAGCTGGACATCTGGTAGAAGGAAAGTAGGCCTGCAGGGGCTCAGCTCCCTCTGGCTTGGGAGCGGTGGCACGGCCTCCTTTCTGCACCTGTACAAGGGGACCATCTCGGGAAGTCACAGATAGGGTCCATTTCCTGATCAGTTGTGGCCGAGTGCTGACTGCTGGGTGTCTTGAGGAACCGACAACAGTGCTTTTTTAATGTATTTTGACCCGTGCAAGGATTGGATTTACCCCTTTTAACATGCTTGAAGCGGAAACAAAGCAGCCTTATTAGTGGTCATGACAACATCCAGGAAGGCCTCATCCCAGACCCAGCCCAGCTCGTCTCGTCAGCAGTCCAGGGCGCCTGCTGCCTCTGGGCCTCTGTTGGGATTTTCCATCCACGACTTCCGCTACAGGAGCCTTCTGTCCGAATAGGGCTTCCTGACTCCCACCCCTTCTTGGCCTGAGAGGCTGTTGACTTTGCACAGGTGGTTTTATGGGTCCAGGCTATCAAGGAAAATGAGTCCAGTACTCTTACCCCTTCAGAAAAAAAATGGTGATTCTGATGCTGTGTACATGAAAAGCCTGCAGTGCTGGAAAGAGGTTGAAGTAGGAAATTTTTTTCTCCTCAGAAATAAAAAGATAGTAAAGGCTTTCATTAACTGAAACCACATTCCATATGGTTGGTTGGGAAATTTCAACATGGACTGTCTTCAGGGCCAGGCAGGTAACAGGCGTGAGCAGGCTCCTGTCACAGGGGCATCGTTTGTATTCTACCACAGTTACACTCTACACGTAAGACATATGGGCCTGAGAAAAGTTAATATCTGATGATCTTTTCAGGCACCACTTTACACACTTTGCATATGTTGCCTGTCTTAGTGCTTACAGAGCCCTGTGAGATAAGTGCTGTTATAGTCGTCCTTGTTTACTGCTGAGGGAACTGAAGCTTGGGAGGTTAAGTAACTTAAGTACTCACATTAGGAAGTGACAGAGCAGGACCCTGAGCCAGGCACATTAGCACTGAAGTCACTCCCACAAAGAACATTTTCTCTCTGATGATTTCAACCACCTTGTCCTTCTATTTTTCCCACTTTTTTTCTTTGTATTTTTAATTTTATTTTTCAATTCTAGAATTTTATTTAGGTTTTTATTGCTGAAGCTTTCAATTTTGTACCATTTCCCCCATTTTGACAGACACACTAGTGGACGCATGTTATTTCCCTACTTAGTGCACCATAGCAACACGGGACCCAGTGTGAGGTGACTGGCATTTGGCCTCAGTGGAGAAGAGACAGTTGGGAGAGGTGAAGACTAAAGTGATGGTCATCTGCAGAGTTCGTGCCCTGCCTAGAGGGGCAGCTCTCCTTCCAGCCTTTTGTCTCCCAGTATCATCTAATAGTCTTTTAAATAGAAGCCAGATTACTTTACAGTGGAAATGTATATCAAACCATCAAGTCATATACCTTGAATGTGTGTAAAATTTTTAATTGGCACCTCTACCTCCATAAAGCCGGGGGGCGGGAAGTTCATGTGGCTGGAGCCAGATGTGTAGGCAGCCACCTCCCCCCACTTTCACCCCACCCCTGCAGCCACCTCCCCCCGCTCTTACCCTACCCCTGTATCTCCTCTGTACGTGTGTCGGTCAAGCCCATGTTCCTTGAGTGTTGAATGTGAACAAGGGATTTTGGAATGCACGGTGGAGTTTAGAAACTGTTATCATTGTTCTGTTAAGTTTTAGCTCCTCCTGGAAAGGAGCCTGGAAATAGCTGGCCACATGTTTACCATGATTTTAGGTTGTCTCACCAGTAACCAGTTTTCATTCTAATAGTTAGGCATTTATTTTAAAGTGCATTCAGAAAAGATAAGCATTTGAAACCTGATGATTTTTGTGAGTATTAGCCTTGCAGAGAGTTAATGTAAGAGCACGGGTAAGTCCATACACTATACATGTAAGTGGTATGCGAATATGGCGAGATGCTGGAGGTGGCGTGAGAGTGACTGAAGGGTGGGCTCCATCAGTCTAGTCTAAACCATCTTCACATGCAGAAGAAATATGCTTAGGAAATTGGGTCTGAGGCAGCAGACTTTTTTGACATCCATTTAAGTTCTTTGTTGCTCCAAGACAAGCCAGTTAACTTGAATATTTGCATACTTACAGAGGCTAAGTAAATGCTCCATGGAAATGCTTCATGCTGTTCTCCAGGTCCTTGTGGACCAGGCGCAAAACTCATAAAAATAGTGGCTTGATTGAAAATCTCATTAAGAAGGAATTAAAAAGGCTGTATTTTGGATTTGTTTATTTAACATCATGGCCTTTTGGAGCAATGTGTAAAAGTCTAGTCAATTCCAGAGCTAGTTTTCCAACAAAAACACCTGTACCAAGCCTCGTCAACTTAACCAGTTAACATTTCACAGAATGATTTGCTGTAAAATGTAGTAAATCCCCACCATGCCACATTACAGGTTTACGGTGTGAGGCAGAAGGCTCGTGACTTACCGGGACTCGTGGTAGTGAGGTGAAGGCACAAGGGAAGGTCCCATGTCTCATTCTGTCAGGAACCATAGCTGGGTCAACTCCAGTTCCTGCCTCCAGCTGAGGCTGGTGGAGCAGGCCCTAGGCCAAGCATTGTGACTTAGGAAGAAAGAGAATATAAGTCAGAGAGTCTGAGTGTTCCCCAAAAGGAAACTCAGAATCACAGCAGGTGCTGCCTGAGAGTTTCCAGATCTCACGGGATTGTCTTCTGTTGGCGCAATCAAGTTGAGCTTCGGTGGGTGCTCATTTGCATTCTTTGCCTTCCGAAATGTAACCCTAGAGAACTTGAATGCCTGCTCCCCATTCCTTTCTTTTTCCTGGAATTGCCCATGTGTTTGTGTTTGTAGGGACTGATGATGGTGCGCAGGAGTTGGTGAAGGAGATCTTGGAGGATGTGGTCACATCTGCTGTGAACGGTGAGAACCAAAACCCTTCTTCCTACCTCATTCCTGCATAAAAATCCCTAGTGGGATGGAGGTAGTGGAGGAGTGCTCCCCCAGTGCACCCATGGACACGGAGTCTGCCCATCTCATATGTGGCATTCAGTGGCTTACTGTTTTGAGTGGTCAGTTTTATTCATTTGGATGGTGCTCGAGAAGAACCGTTCGTTTGACCACTTGGGGCTGCCTGTGCCGTGGAGGCGCAGAGGGCCACTCTGTCTACGTGCAGGCTTTTCCAGGAGTGGGCTTTGAGCCCTGAGATGTGTCCCTCCCTGCTGAACTGTTGTGGCCAGCCATTGATGTGTCCAGACGACAGTCCCTGCATATGCAGGTATTGGGTACGCGAGGCGGCTTCCTTTATAACTCATGGTATGGTTCCAGGTGACTTAAACTTGCACGGATCCAGACTGACTACTAGATGATTGTTTTCTTTGTTTGTTCCCCAAGTCTCAAATCAATGGCTCTGTGTTAAATGCTCGGTTCCAGTGCCAAAAATCAGTAATGGGTTGAGAAATCAATAAGATAGTAGGGTTGCAGTCAGCACTATTTTTTTTTTTAAAGATTTACTTATTTGTACATACAGAACTAGGGTACAGGCCAGAGACTCAGGGGCAGTGAGAGACTTCACCAGAGACAGAGTGGGGAGTAGAACAGGCAGATCAACGAAGTACACTGCTGAGGGGAGCAGTGGGCAGGTCAGGAGAGGTCTGCCAGCCATGTGGTCTCCTCCGGGGAAGGCGGGGATCGAACTCATGCGGAAGTGGCTTTAGCTTCTCAGTGCAGTGCTTTAACCCGCTGCACCACCAGGGAGGGCCAGCACTATTTTTTAATGACAGAGACAAAAATGAAAATAGAATGCAAACTGTCTGTGTCATATGTTAAGAATTGTCTCATGAGGGCCCTCTCTGGTGGTGCAGTGGTTAAACACAGCACTGCAAAGCTAGCTACAACCACTTCAGCACGAGAACATGCCATGACCCACATGGCACAACAGACTTCTTCCTTGCCTGCGGCTCCCCTCAGCAGTGTACTTTAGTCACTGCTCCCCACTCTGTCTCTGGTGAATCCTCTTGCCACCCCTGCACCTCTGGCCTGTACCCCAGTTCTGTATGCATTAAAAAAAAATAAATCTTTTTAAAAATAAATGAAAGAATTCTCACATGAATCATATTTTAGTTATTAATGTGCATGTTAGGAATTTAAAAATGTGATTTTTTAAAAGGATTTATTTATTCATACAGAACTGGGGTACAGGCCAGAGATGCGGAGGGTGAAAGGATTCACCAGGGACTGAGTGGGGAGCTGAACAGGCAGGTCGACGAAGTACACTGCTGAAGGGAGCAGCGGGCGGGTCAGGAGAGGTCTGCTGCGCCATGTGGATATCCTCCGGGGCAGGCAGGGATCGAACTCATGAGGAAGTGGCTTAAGCTTCTTAGTGCTGTGCTTTAACCCGCTGCGCCACCAGGGAGGGCCAAAAATGTGATTTTTAAAAAAGATTATTTATACATACAAGAGCTGGGCTGTAGGCCAGAGGTGTGGGGAGGGGTGTGAGGAGATTCACCAGAGACAGAGTGGGGAGCAGAATAGGCAGATCTACTGAGATACACTGCTGAGGGAGGCAGTAGACAATACAGGAGAGGTCTGCTTTGCCATGTGAGTCAGCTCCCTGGCCGGGGATTGAATTGGTGCTGCAGTGGCTATGGATGGCTTCATGGTGCTGAGACTCAATTCCTTGAGCTCCCAGGGAGGCCCTAAAAATGTAATTCTTATGAGAGCAATGGTCAAAAAAGTCTGAAGAATGGCTTTAAGCCCTGTTCATAGATTTCATTATTTAACTCCTTATAAAAATGTCTTTAAAACAGAGTAGGTTTATTTCACACCCTTAGCTTTTTTCTGGGGTCAGTAAGAAATTATCACATAATGAATGTGAAAACTTCTGTATCTGCCAGCCCCTAGCACAGAGCCTAGTACATATTAGGCACTTAATAAATGTGTTAAAGGAATGTGTTCTTTGTAAAACCATTATTGAAGATTTTGCTTAATAAGTTGTTCATTAAAGATTCATGCAGTAAATTCCCCATAGAGCTTGGCTTGTCCTTCTTTAACCCATATAGTATTAGTCCTTTAAGAAAATCTGTGCTTCAACACTGAGAAGCTGGAGCCACTTTAGCATGAGTTCGATCCCCGCCTGCCCTGGAGGTGACCACATGGCGTGGCAGACCTCTCCTGACCCGCCTGCTGCTCCCCTCAGCAGTGTACTTTGTCCATCGGCCTGTTCTGTTCCCCACTTTTTCTGGTGAATCCTCTCACCACCCCTGCACCTCTGACCTGTACCCCAGTTCTGTATGCATAAATAAATAAATCTTTAAAAAAAAGAAAGAAAGAATATCTGTGCTTTTGTGTTTAGCTGCTTCTAAAGAATTAGCCAATTCTAATTCTAGTTCTTGGTTTATTAGTTTCATGTAATTCTGCAGGTACCATTGACATGGACTGAGATGAAGGAAGCCTCCTGGGATGGGGCTTGAATACAAGACTCATGTAAAGCCTAAGCACCACTTTGGATAAACCCTTCCACTATTATGTGAATCGTGGGCTTTGAGTGCAGGGAAAGGGAAGAAGCAGTCCCTGGAAGATCTTAGAAGTCACTTCCTGGTGCCAGGCGAGGCCACCTTTCATGTGTTGATGAATTTTGCACTTGTGTTTTAGAAGCAGCACAAAAGCATGGTCTCATGGAACCCGAGAGGGTCCCTGGTGAGTTGGAGCGCCAGGAGTGTCCTGCTCCCCCTGGAGTGGACGGGAACTCACAGACCAATGGGGTAGCAGACGACAGGCAGTCCTTGTCATCAGCGGATAATCTGGTATGTCGGGAGTCTCCTGCGCTGACTCATTTCCATTCTTCTTTAGATGATGCAGAATTAAACCTCTATCAAAAGTAGTGAAAACAAACAAGCCCTACTGCATCATTAGTCACACTGTCCTGGCTTAGCATTCTTTGTATCAGGTTCCATTCTTGAACATGCTAATGGTGGTCATCTGACATTGTAATAAAGCTCTCTTTATTCAGACTTCTAAAACGTAGGTTTCCTACCCTTTCTCATTATTGGAAAATAAGAAAACATAGAGAAGGAAATACAAGCCGTCTATAGCCAGAGGTAACCCTTGTTAATGTTTTCTCTATATCCTTCTAGATTTTTGCCCGTCCCCCACTTTTTTCCATGTAAGTAGAGTAACACTAATACCCATGCTGTTTTGTGACCTGCTTTTTAAGTTTTGTGTATATTGTGTACATTCTTTCACCACATTTTTTAAATAGCCTCATCGTTCTCTTGAAAACGCTATATTTAACCATTCAGAGCAGGAAATAATGTGACATTAACATCCCCTGAAACTACACTCTCCTCTCACCAGGGTTTCTCAATCTTTTCCATTATCATTCCCCACAAGGGAACCTTTTAGCTGTTTCTTTTTCCTAATTACCATCCCTCCCTTTCATGAAATTTTAATCATTGATAACCAGGATATCTGTGTACGTATTATCTGTATCTTTGTGCTTTGTGCATTAAAAGAATAAGCAGGGTTTTTTGCCCCTCCCTCAACAACCAGTTTTTACTTTACAGGCTGTTATAGCAGAATGAGATAGGTTGATTGGCTTATATGCAGCAAAGGTTAGTTCTTACGGTTCTAGAATTGGGAATTCCAAGATAAGGCACTGGCACTTTTAGCGTCTAATGAGAACGTACTTATTGGTTCACAAATGGCATCCTGTTGCTGTGGCCTCACTTGGCTGAAGGATTGTGTGTCTCTGTCACAGAACACTAATCCCATTCTTGAGAGCTCCAAGAATGACTTCCTCACCTCCCAAAGGCTTTACCTTGAAACACCATGAACTGGGGATAGGCTTCAATATACGAATTGGGAGAAGGGCACAAACTTGCAGTCTATTGCAGTCCCCCTACGGTTACGTCACTCCATGGAGAAATCTAGACAGGTAGGAATTTAATCCAGAGGAGCGACTATGTTTTGTTCACTCGGCTGCAACTTGCTTCATTCATTCAAAACTGTTCCACTGACAGTTTTCTATATCAGTACTTAACATCTCTAGCTAATTTTTTAAATGGCCATGTAAAAATTCTATTATGTGGATCACCACAACTATTTAACCAATTCCCTATTAGGTTCCTAGGTTATTTCACTTTGATCGCAGGAAAAATGCCATGCAAACATCCTTCTGAGTGCACCTTGAGCCCCACAAGTGGTATTGCTGGAAGATTTGGGAGCTGAAAGGCCTTTGTCCTTCTACTGAATTAGCTGCACGAAAGCTCATAGTTGAATCTCTGCTTACCTGCAAACACTCAGTGTTCATTTTCCCAGCCCCCATTAAAACTGGGCAGTAGCATTCATTCCCATCTCTGCTGGTCTGGCGGGCTGAAGATCCTGCCTTAATGATTACTAGTAACGTTATTTAGGCGTATCGATCCTTTGCATTTCCTGGGGAGTTGATTATTCTTGTTCTTTGCCTGTTTTTCATTTGGTGGTAAGTTTCCGCTGTTGCCTTAGTGGGTGATAGGAACTTTTTGTGTGTGGAGGCTGTTAATCCATGTCATGTGTTACAAATACTTACCTAAAACTTTTTAAATGCTGCTTACTTTTTAAGAAGTTTAATTTTAAATGCCTATCATTTCCCCCCATTTAGTCTACAATAATATTCTTAAAAATATCTTTTTATTGAAGCTGATGTAAAGAATTGCCTATGTGTTTTAGTTTTTTTTAACATTTTTTTCTTTGTCATTTTCACCCACCCTGACCCATGTTTGGAGGGTAAAGAGCCAGGCTGTCGGACTGCTATGATGGCACCCCTTCAGCTCCAGTTTTGCATGTCCGCTCCTCCCCACCTCCTTCACGTCCCCATTGAATAAAGTTTCTATCGGATAGTTATTTTTTTTATTTTTGAAAAGCATTATCCTTTTCTTCTAACCTTTGGTTTTTCTCTTGTTTATTTCTAACCTTAGGAGTCAGACACACAAGGACACCAGGTGGCTGCTAGGTTCTCTCACATTCTGCAGAAAGACGCCTTCCTTGTGTTTCGCTCCCTTTGCAAGCTGTCCATGAAACCCCTTGGGGATGGCCCCCCAGATCCAAAGTGAGTAAACAGCAGTTCTCAGCTGTCTCTAGCCCCAGTGATCCAGGGGACCTTGGGAGACCCCAGGAATCCCCAGTGTTCATTCTTGCTGTGGGGGCAAGGGCCTGGAATCTACTCTGGATGGCCTTTTATGGGGTCCCTGCTGGTCTTCGCAGAGTGAGTCATTTCCATGTCCCCTCCTTCCAAGATCTCGCCCAGTTTTGCTGTCTTTGGTTGATATGCCAAGGAGTGTCATGATGCTGCCATGTGCCCTGTCGTTACTGACTCGGGAATTTAGTCTCCTCCTGGGGTAGGTGGGGCAGGATGTGTACCTGCCTCAGCTCCTGCCCCGGTCAGAACCTCTGCTTTGTGGATTTAAGCCCCACATTCTACCCAGAAAAGTCATACTTCCTTTGTGGTGAATGAACTGCCTGTAGGATGGCAGTTCTGTGACGTGTCCCAGTACAGCTTTCGAGCCAGAGCCACCTGCCTTCAGCCTGACTCCTCCGCTCCAAACAGCTCTGTGCTATAGGAGTAACAAGCCCCCACATGAAAAACGGGGCTGTGGAAAGTCACTTCGCAGGGGCAACTAACTGAATCATGATGCTATGATGTCCATGCACTGGACCCTGCCCTTTGCAGTTTTATAGTCACTTCTGTTATCTTTGCTACCTGTCAGTAATGATAATCTCCAGCCCTTCTAGTGAGGATTTGGTAACTGGTAGGAAAATTGTTCATGTAAATTTTCCAGTTTTCACCATACCTGGGAGCTGGGAGAGGATGAGGATGGGTAGGTCGAGTATGCCATCTCTCTTGTCTGGGGGCAGATGTCTTGTTCTCACATGAATGATGTAACATAATCGGTTCTGTCAGCACAGCTGCAGAACCAGCTCTCCAGAACCACTTGACACATGATTTACTTTGCTGTGTTTTCTTTCTGACAGAGAGGGCCAGAAAGAATAGGAGCTGGCAGCTCTTCTCTCACAGGGCATGCTAGTTCCAAGAATGAACCCACTTTGTCCCATCTGCCCTCATTCTGTTGACATTGGGTACTGTTGCGACTTCTTAACTCATTGGCTTCTCAGCACTTTCTGCTCACTGGTAAAAGAGCCAGGTCTTCTCTCTAAGCACGCTTTCTAAAATGTTGTCTTTAGCACTCTTGTTTTTTGCTTGCTCTGCCAGATCCCACGAGCTGCGCTCCAAAGTGGTCTCCCTGCAGCTGCTCCTCTCCGTGTTGCAGAATGCTGGCCCCGTCTTCAGGACTCACGAGATGTTCATCAACGCAATCAAGCAATATCTCTGTGTGGCATTGTCCAAAAATGGCGTCTCTTCAGTGCCTGATGTTTTTGAGCTCTCGCTTGCCATTTTTCTTACTCTTCTTTCAAACTTTAAAATGCACTTGAAAATGCAAATAGAGGTATGGCTCAACGTGATTTTTTAATTTGATGACATATATACCTGATGAGTTCACTACTATTGGTGTAGTCACCAGGAACTACAGCAAGTATAACGTACCCCCGAAGTACCTTTTGATTGAGAAAAGAACATAAAAAGTTACTGCCTCCAAATCTTACATGCCAAATTTTAAACAAAAGTATGCTGCATGCTGTGTTCAGCCCCACAAGCATGTTTAATTAATCTGTAAGTTGTTTTAAATGGCTTAAGTCAGTGGCTAAATTGGGAGATCGGATTTGACAGAAAATGCAGGTTTTCTCTAGAAAAATCACAGCCCCGAACCTGCCTGTCCATGTGGGAGTTCATGGCAGCTGCTTCCTCCGACAAGGCCCATAGTTTCCAGGTCACCATGGCTGTGCCCTTGAGCTGTCACCCCGAGACTGGGGTCCCCTGCTGGCTGGCAGCACCTGTGTTCAGCTCCTCCCCATCTGTCCAGGCCACTTCACTACTTTTGGGGGTTCTGAACCCTACTGTAAACTGCCTGTTTTCCAATGTCCTCCTTTGTTTTCCTGTCATATAGGTTTTTTTCAAGGAGATTTTCCTGAACATTTTAGAAACATCAACAAGTTCTTTTGAGCACAGGTGGATGGTTATTCAGACTCTGACAAGGATCTGTGCAGGTATTTTCACCCTGAGGGCGCGCATGCTTTTCCTGGCCCAGCATCACTTCCAGTGTTTCGTTTTCCAAAGTCCAGATTAAGACCTCCTTTTAGAGTTTTGGGAAAATCATTACCGTAACACAAATACTCTAACCTCATGACTAGTTCCACCCCACCTCTCCTTTAGAGGATGGCTGACTCGGTCTGGTTTGCCCAGGGCTTTCTGGTTTTAGCACTGCAAGTGCTAGTTTTGGGAAAGTCCGCACTCCTTAGAAAGCCCTGGAAAACCGGAACATTCGGTCACCTCTCCTGCCAGCTATATGTGTTTATTGGTGTCAGGGGCCACGGGGTTGGTGCTGCTGACCCTTGGTTGGCCACTTGTGTGTCATCAAATGCAATTTCACCAGCTTTTAGAGGTGGACCAGGCAACTTTTGTCCCCCTTTTTGATGAGGAAAGGAGCTTTGGGGGGGTGGAATGAGCTCTTGAGATTCAGTAAGTGTGAGTGCTAAGTCTAGACCTTCCTAGCACCTCCAGCAGCCATCCTGAGTGAGGTTTGTCTCCCTGAGTCGGTAGTTCTCTGGGGAAAGGATTTGACAAAAGAATCTCATTTTATAAGAAAGCATAGCTGTTCTTGTGTTCCATCCAAATTTCTCATATCTGTGTGTTATTTTCCAAGATGCCCAGTGTGTTGTGGATATTTATGTCAACTACGACTGTGATTTAAATGCTGCTAACATTTTTGAGCGCCTTGTAAATGATTTATCCAAAATCGCTCAGGGAAGAAGTGGACATGAGCTGGGGATGACACCTCTGCAGGTAAAAATATCGATAACACTTGCTGAGATGGAAAGTTCATTTCACTCCAGTAAATATTTGTCATGTCTGGGTACCGTGTTCGGTGCGGTAGTGCACAGCCGTGAGCACAAAACACAGACACACACGCTGGTGCCCAACTGCTGCCGCCCCGCAGCACCTGGAGAGGATGCCGGAGATGTGGATGTAGAGGAGAGCAGGGTGGGAGGCTGTCCCTTACATAGCCCGGGGTCGACCCCTGGCACGTTTGCGGTGAACACCTTCAGGGATGTTCAGGGCTCTGTGCATTGCGCCCTCTGAATACCTGTGCCGTCTGCTAGCTTTTCCTCGGGTTTTATGCTGATGAGCCCTGAACTTCTGAAATGGCCGCTTGGTATCTGCACTTGATTTACCTGTTAAGTCTCTGTGCCATGTCACTTCTGTCCTTCAGGAGCTCAGTCTGAGGAAGAAGGGCCTGGAGTGCCTCGTGTCCATTCTCAAGTGCATGGTGGAATGGAGCAAAGACCTGTATGTGAATCCCAACCACCAGACCAGCCTCGGTGAGGGGTGTTACTTCTACCACTGCCTCTGTTCTCAACAGGCTGTTTAGGACGGTGGGGAAGTTGTCTTGGTGTAATTGTCTCAGAACAAGCAAAATACTTCAAGTTGCTAAAGAGGCTGCTTCTCAGGGGAATGGAGTGAGTGGTGCCCTCCCTCAGTTTTCCAAACGGAGAGTCAGTGTTGTTGTTGTTGTTTTATCTGTTTTTAGGAGTTCCTCACTCACTTTTGAAGCACCTCCTTTACGATATACCAAGTTCCCCTGTGTGCATGAGCCTGTCTGAGTTTTCTCTTCTGTTCTACTGACTTTTCTGTTCTCAGCACCAGTCCATGCTTTTCAGATGACTGGAGTTCTGTAGTCTGCGCAGGTTCTTCTGTTCACTGTTCTTCAAGTGTCTTGACTGTTTTTGTACTTTCATCTTTCATATGAATTTTATCACATGACAAGTCAGCCTATCGAATTCCACCAAAAATATAAGTTTTTAATTAAAGTATCTCAATGATACCAAGTTTTCATGCATCTGAGCCTTACAGTTCTGGCTTGATTGTTACCCGCTTGGGAAAGTCTACCACACAGCCAGACCTGAGCTCAGCTGTGTCTGCGTCCCTCTTGCTTATGTGGTTTTCTTTGCCATGGTGTCCCGCAGGTCAAGACAGGTGCACAGATCAGGAAATGGGCGACGGGAAAGGTCTAGACATGGCAAGACGGAGCAGTGTGACTTCCTTGGAGTCTACCATGTCCTCAGGGACCCAGACAACTGTCCAGGATGATCCAGAGCAGTTTGAAGTAATCAAACAACAAAAGGAAATCATTGAGCATGGCATTGAGCTGTGAGTATGACTACCCGCTGACTGGATCTCTGAGGTCCTGACAAAGCCAGCCTCTGGGAACCTGGACAGACTCTCAGGGAGAAATACTCATTACTAGTCTTTCTACCTGAGCCTGACTGAGCCAGACAAAGGGAGAGAGTGTTGGGGGTGGAGATTTAATGCCTTTGTGTGATTGATGGCAGGGCGTTGTGTGTGTGTGTGTGTGTGTGTGTGTGTGTGTGTGTATGTGTTTTAAGCAAGCATGTAAAAATTGCTCTTAAAATTACCTAGAGGAAATTACCGATGGCAACGTTTTTGTTTACTAATTACATATTATGAGAAATCACAACAAACAGAAAAATTGACATTTACCTACTAGGCTTATATGTTTATTGTTTTCCTGAACCATTCAGAAGTAATTTGCCACCATGGTGATACTTCAGCCTCACACCTTGGGAAATTAAGGAAGTGCTTGCACGAGCCCCTTCCTGTTGCTGCCTGGTTAATCTTACTGCGTTTCCTTCCAGGCTGTCGCACACACGCACGCGCACCGCTCACATTCTAGCCAACTCTGGAATGATTAGTTAGCTCAGTAAGTTTGATTTATTTTAAAAGTTGAAGTTATAATGCACTTATAATTCACTTATTAAGTGAAATATTAACCTCATTTCTATTCTCAGTATCCCTGCTCACTCCCAGTCTGTTCTCCCTATTGCACTAAAAGACCTTTTCAAAGTGTAGTTCAGATCTTACCACTCCCCTGCCTGTAATCTTTCCATGTTTCCTACTACCTCATCCAGCCTCACTGACCTCATCTCCTGCCAGTACCCCCAGTCACATGATGTGTTTCAGCTGTTTAAACACCTCACACTTCATCATTGCCCACCTGCTTTGAGCACTCGGGCCTTTGTCATCCTTCAGATTTATCAAAACAGCTCTTCCTCAAAGAGGCCTTCTACACTATTCAAACAGGCCCTGAGTTATTCTCGTTTTACCCTATTCATATCCATTCTTTTTTTTTTATTGGTTTTTTTTATAATATAATAGTTTATTTTTACATCATTCTGTACTTTTTTTTTTTTCATCTCAATTGTAATCCCCGAGGGTTTCCCATCACCAAGTCACCCGTGTGCCATCATAGTCCCGTGCACTTCCCTTCCCTTCCCCCCCCTACCGTTTTTGATCCCATTCCCCACTCCACCCCCACAAAATGTCTCTGGTATATGGCTGTTCATTATCCTTATTATTCTCTCGCCTGGTCCATTATACTCCTGCTATGAGTTCATGTCCATACTTAACAGCTCTGCCACTGTTATTGCCATAAACAAGTTGCATTCTACAAAAGCAGGGCCTGTTAAATAACAAATTGAATGAAGACATTAGTTAAGTTTGTCTGCCTTTCAGAGGCACTATAAAATACCAGTGCTTCAGCACTCTTGTTTTTTTAAAGATTTATTTTTATTTATGCAAACAGAACTGGGCTATAGACCAGAGGTGTTGGGGTGAGAGGATTCACCATAGACAGAATGGGGAGTAGAACAGGCAGATTGATGAAGCACACTGCTGAGGGGAGCAGTAGACAAGACATCTGCTGCACCGTGTGGGCACGGAAGCAGCTGTGGCTCGCTTGCAGTGCTGCACTTTAATCCATTGTGCCACCAGGGAGGGCCAGTGCTTCAATACTCCTAAGGGGGGTACCTGGATGATCAGCCCAGGGCTGTTTTGGTGACTCTTGAGGACATCAGAGATTTTAGGCTCCTTTGATCTCTGCGTCATCATCATATCTTCAGCATTTCCAGTTTCAGTGTTGCCTTAGATTTAAGATGACTGCTGACACACCTGCCATCAAACATATATTCCAGGAAAGGAGTGGGAAAGTGCAAAAGAATGTAGTTGCCAGCCAAGTCAGCTTAGTTGAATGACTCTTCTTAGAAATCCCCTCACTGCCCTCCCTGGTGGCGCAGCGGATTAAAGCACAGCACTGTGAAGCTAGCCATAATTGCTTCAGCACAAGTTCAATCCCAAGGCAGCAGGGTGACACCCCTGGGTCACATCTTTCCTCTCTCGCTGCTCCCCTCAGCAGTTTACCTGGCCATTCTGCCTGTTCTGCTCCCCGCTCTGTCTCTTGTGAGTCCTCTCACTGCCCTTGCACCTCTGTCCTGTACCCCTCCTGTACCCCAGTTCTGTGTGTATAAATGAATAAATCTTTTTAAAAAAGAAATCCCCTCACCAATTCTCATGACCCACTAGCCAGAACTTTATCACATGCCCATACTTTGTTTAAGGGAGGCGGGCAAATGTAGTTTTGATCCAGATATTTGTGTACCTAGCAAAATATCTAGGGCTTTATTGGTGTTGGAGAAGGGGAGAGTGAATATTGGATGACAGCCAGCAGATGCTGTGTAGCTAGGTCAGAAATAAAAGGTGGAATTTAGAAAACCTACCAGGCACATCAGCCATTCCACACTGAAAAGTGATGATGGGATTGTGAGTTGCAGTGCTTAGCCATTTGTGCTGATACTGTGACCCACCTCACATGCAGGCCAGCCTTTTCTGTCCTCCAGATTTTGAAATAAGAAACCCTGTACCCTCTCTTCTTGAAACAGATTTAACAAGAAACCCAAGAGAGGGATCCAGTTTCTCCAGGAGCAGGGCATGCTGGGAACATCAGTTGAAGACATTGCCCAGTTCCTGCACCAGGAGGAGCGCCTTGACTCTGTAAGTGTGTGGATTTGGTGCTTGAATGTGGTTCCTTCGCTGGTTCTCAGCTTTCACCTAGAAATTGGCTGTCCTTGGGTCTGCTAGCTGCTGTCCACTCCCCTGCTTACTGTGGTCCTGTTTATCCCTTTCACTAATAAGTTTGAAATAAGTTCTCTGAAGGGAAAAACTAATTCCCCGCAGCTGGTTATGTCTTTGGTCAAATGGCATCAAAGCTAGAAGTGTACCTGGGCTGCTGGGAACTGTTCTTTTGTCTCCCTGTCTGCAGTTAACGTTTCTGAATGAGTCACATCATTCATCCATGTTTACGTCTCTTGTGCCTTCTGCTCTTCCTTCATCAGTAGCAGGGCAGACTGAACCTAGAATGGGGTGTGGGCAGGCTGGAATTTTCTAACAGTCTAGCCTGTTCTGGTTGCTTATGAGTGCCGGGCGTTCTCTGACCCCTCTCCCCACTTCACTCCACCACCCCCCCAACGCTGAAGTACCCTATCCTATAGGTTCATATTTGACAACTACATGTGAGTGTGTATGTTTCAGACCCAAGTAGGTGATTTTCTGGGAGACAGCACACGGTTCAACAAGGAAGTGATGTACGCCTACGTGGACCAACTTGACTTCTGTGAAAAGGACTTTGTCTCAGCACTGCGGACATTTCTAGAAGGTTTCCGCCTGCCTGGGGAAGCCCAGAAGATTGATCGGTTTATGGAGAAGTTTGCTGCAAGATACATAGAGTGCAACCAGGGGTGCGTGCCATATTGACCCTCCATGTTACCTTTCCCCTGCCCTAGACACTAATTATAATTTGGTTGGAGGTTGAGTAATCTCACCTGAGCAGGTAACTGAAGGTCGCAGGCCTCCTGTGCTCTCAGGGATGCTCCCATGCGAGAGCTCGCAGCAACTGTTTGTGTGCCCTTCCACAGACAAGACCGCTGAGGACCGGGAGGCTAGTGCACACACCGTGAATGGCGATCAGTGACTTCGTGAGTTAAGGGAGCCACCGCCCCAATCGAGAACCCACCCCTGATTCAATATATTGGGTAGATTAGAAGATTCTGGGTCTTTTTGGTTCAGTGATGAGCAAGTTACAAAAATGACCTTGTAACAAATAAAACGTGCATAAGTGTAGAATTTCATCTTGGGACTTTTTGCAATAAGTGGTCCTTGTTTTGTAGGAAGTGGAAACTGGACAGAACACATACTGCTATGTGTCAGCCGTGCCATAGACTTTACTTGCATTTCATTTAGTCAACCCCATAATTAATTAGCTAGTAATTGAATAGAAATTGTTTCAGGAGCTCATGCTCTTTCCATTGAACACGGTGCTGAGACTGTCTGGATATACAGACAGTTGATGTGGAGACTGTTGAATGGAGACATTCGGGTAACAACTCTGCTTCTCAAGGCAATACAGTTTTCATGTTAATTGGTCCCCATGAGATGGCATGGTTGGCAAAGGCAAAATTGGGCATTTTAACCAAATGGAGATTGGAATTTGCTGAAAAGACGTAACTACCTGTGATTTCCTTCAATCTACTGTGTGGACCCCGAGACCTTCGTCTCTTTCCCTTAGTCAATAATTTGGGGACCCAGTTAAATTGCAGATGATAATGCAAAGCTTTTGTTATGTTGTTCACAATGACTTGGATAAGCCAGTCTTTCTAGAGTCAGCTTCCCATGTTAGGAGACTGTGCCCACAGGTTTTCCTGTTTTTCCTTGATAGTACGAAAGTCAGACTTCACCAGCATGTTACTTCAAGCAATATAAACATTTTCTTTTACATTTCTGCTATTAAGTATTTTTTTTAAGATTTGTTTTATTTATTTACACATACAAACACTGCAGTGTAGGCTAGAGGTTTGAAGGGTAAGAGGATTCAGACACAAAGTGAGGAGTAGAACAGATGGATCTACCAAGTTACACTGCTGGGAGAGCAACCAGCAAGATAGGAGAGTTCTTCTTTGCCCTGTGGATCAGCTCCCTGACCAGAGATTGAACTCATGCTGCAGTGGCTGGCAATAGTTTGATAGCACTGAGACTTTAATCCCTGCACCACCAGGCCCTCTGCTATTAATTATTATAAACAGTAGTGTAAAGTGTAAATAGCTAATAATTAAACAGCATTTGTTTTTGGGTTTTTTTTTTTAAGATTTATTTATTCATACAGAACTGGAGTGTAAACCAGAGGTGCAAGGGTGGTGAGACTTTACCAGAGACAGAGTGGGGAGCAGAGCAGGCAGATCGATGAAGTCCACTGCTAAGGGGAGCAGCGGGCGGGTCAGGAAAGATCTGCTGCACTATGTAGGTCAGCTCCAGGGCCGGGGATTAAACTCACTGAAGCAGCTGTGGCTCCCTGTTGTGCCACCAGGGAAGACCCTAAACCCTTTTTCTAGCCAGTGCCTACCACAGAGTAGGTGCTCGTGAGAACAGGATGAAGGGATTGGAGGGAGACATGCAAGGTACAAATTTAGGGGTCCTCACTGCAGGATCGGTGCTGCAGGGCAAGCACTTTCAGAGTGAGGGTCTTCTCACAGTTGTGTTCTGGGTGCCTCACTCACCTCACCCTTATCCCTGGCCCTGATTGCCCCTCAAGGGTCTTTAAAACCTTGGGAATTGCTGTGTTGAAAGAAGTCTAGCACTCTGATACATTCTCCATTAGCTTTTTTGCACTCAAGGTCCTTGGTCATCATTCTGTGATGATGAAGGCTCTGACATCACGTGGTACACCTGCCTGCTTTTAGTGAAGTGGCTCCCCTTTAGCAGTGCACCTCAGCCGCATGTTCAGCTGTGTTCTCACCTTGCAATCTTTTCTTTCAGGCAAACGCTGTTTGCTAGTGCTGACACTGCATATGTCCTCGCATACTCAATCATCATGCTGACTACAGACTTGCACAGCCCTCAGGTAAAAGGTTTCAGTGACCTGTACTCTAGCTAAGTGGCTTTGCACCAGTGGCCCATTTTCTAAGTGGTTTTTAATTTTAGGTAAAAAATAAAATGACAAAAGAGCAGTATATTAAAATGAATCGGGGTATCAACGATAGTAAAGACCTACCAGAAGAATATCTCTCCAACATCTATGAAGAGATAGAAGGCAAGAAAATTGCAATGAAAGAAACAAAAGAGCATACAATTGCAACCAAATCAACTAAGCAGAGTAAGGTCCAATGACAAATTATTTCTATTGATTTCAATTTTTGAGTGTATCAGAATGCATGATTAAGTTCCCTGATGATAAATTTGATTTGCATATGTAGGTGTCTGAATAAGAAATGTGATTAAATTAATTATTGTGATTCTGTTGGTTCCTTCATAATAGCACTGTATTCTTTCTAGATTTGTGATTAGTTACAAGAAGGAATATAAAATAAGTAATCTGAGGACTAAATTACTCCCCAGAAATTTTCCTTCAAACTTTGCCTGTGGTGACTGTGCCACTCTCTGTGAGGAGTCTTAAGTTAGTTAAGCCCCTGTGAAACTCCACTTTTTTGTTCAAGAGGCAGCAGAGTGGAGGGGTTCACACAGTAGGCTTTAGCACTACACTGCCTGGGTTCAAGTCCCCACTCAGCTACCTACTCGCTGTATGATCTTGGGCAAATACTGAACCTCTTTGAGCCCCACTGTTTCCGTCAGTAAAATGGTAATATTCATAACAGAAATCATGAAGTCGTGCCTGGCACATAGCAAGTATTCTATGCAAGTGGGTCTAAGCTGCTATTGTCATGTTCTTAATTCTTTGTAGATGTAGCTAGTGAAAAGCAGCGACGGCTGCTGTACAATTTGGAGATGGAACAAATGGCCAAAACAGCCAAAGCTCTGATGGAGGCTGTGAGCCACGCCAAAGCCCCATTTACCAGCGCCACTCACTTGGACCACGTCCGGCCAATGTTCAAGGTGAGAGGGGATGTGGCTGGGCCTGACTCTGGCGCTGCCCATCTGGAAGCTAACCAGAGAGTGATGAGGGTGAAGAGATCAAAGAGAGCAAAGGCCAAGCGTGTGTGCTTCTCTGAGCCAGTGACTGAACAGGCCCTTCCCGGAAGCCCTTCGATGATGCTGGGGAAGTGCCTGCCTTGGCACTGGCACTGGCTCTGGGCTCTGTCCAGGCCCGCCGTTGCTGCTCAGCCTCTCTGTGTTCATCATCTGCACACTGGGGACAGAAACAGCATGTCAGGGCTGCTGGGGAAAGAAGGGATTAGGAGTTACTCCAGCCAGAGAGACCATTCATTGCGACCTCTACCTGAGTAGCCTCAGGGCCAGTTTATCAGGTGAGATTAGAAATGTCTGGAAAAGAAACATTTCTTTATGCATACCATTGATCTTTCTCTAAGATGTCTTTATAACAATTGTCAGTCTCCTAGTAGTTGTTCAGTTCTAGATTTTTGTTAGCTCTTATTTCCAACAGATTCACTAGAAAATTGAAGGAAAAGTAACATCTAAGTAATTTGAATTGGATGCTGAGGTGAGAAACTGTAAAACCTGTGCATCATTGTAACCTAATGTCACCTCAATTGGAAATAATAAGGAACCTTTCAACAAATTTAGCTACAGGACATAGATCACGTATCATTTTGCCAGCCAGCCTGTGATTGGTAATGGCTGCCAGGGGGTGTCTGTAACTGATCAGCATACTTGCTGTGGGCACAGGGAGCTGTGATGGTGGCTGCGCAATCACCACACATTTCCTCTCTCTACGCTTGGTGAGTAGCAGCCTCTAGCAAGAGCTTTGCCCAGAGTCAGGAGGGCCGCGTGGCTTGTGACTGGAACCCATGGCAGTCAACATACAGTGAGCTTGCCTTCTGGCTGTGCTCCTGGTGAGCGGGTAGCCTCCACACGCCCTCTCCACCCTTTAAGTTGGCCTTAGGGAACCCTCCCTCTGTTGGCAGCTGGTGTGGACGCCCCTGTTGGCCGCCTACAGCATCGGACTGCAGAACTGTGATGACACTGAAGTGGCCTCCCTGTGTCTGGAAGGCATCCGCTGTGCAATCCGGATTGCCTGTATCTTTGGAATGCAGGTGGGTGTAAGTCAGCAAAGCCCCAGAGATGCTGGTGGGCTGTGTTCTTTTAGACTTGGCAAAACTCAGAAATTATTAGAAATTTCTAATTAGTCAGAAATGTCTCACCAAACGGTTTACGTGTGCCTGCTGAGAAGAACTTCACAGATTTGTGCTGGCAATAGCCTTATTAGGGGAGAAAGTTGGAAATTTGGCTAGATCAGGGAAGGTGGCAGCCAAGCTAATTGACCAGATTTGACAAAACAACCTTCCTGTCCCTCTGCTTCATTGGCCTGCCCAGTGCTTAAGATACTGTTGTTGTTGTTTTTAATGAGTAGTTTTTATCAGAATTTCCCTTATTGCCAGTTCTTCTCTGGGGAACAAAATAGTTCACTGCAAAATGAATGTCTGCAAATGACTTTTGAGTCTTGAAAAATTCAAGCAAATAAACAACATGCAGTTCCCTGACTGCTAATGAAATCAGGAGGTTGTTGGTCTCATGCCATTGCTTCTAAGTCACTAAGAATTTGCTCCCATTTCCTTTGAAACCCTAAGTCTGCTGGTCCCATTTCCTTTACAGGTAGACATTTTCTTCTGCATCAGACCACAGGCTTTGACATCAGAAAATCTGGGTTTCAAAATCCAGCTCTCCATCTTCAGTAGCCATGTAATGTTGACACAGCTCACTTCTTTTTAAGATGCCATTTATTTCCTCATTGTTTCACTCAAGAAAATAGGCCTGCCTTGCAGAATTATTGCAGATACTAGAAGCATTCAACAGATTCCTTCCCTACTCGCTCCACAGGAAGTGGAATGCGGAGCATAAATTTTAGGTCAGTTGGAAAGGAGAGAGCTAGTTCTCCAACATGTAGTGTGTAAGGAACTCTGAGAGATGTTCATTAACAGGACACCGTATGGGACAGCTGGCCCAGTCATGTATGTAAAGCCTTTTGATGTGTATATAGTGGGTCTCAGGCAGCCCAGGTGTGAAACAGTCCTGCAGGTGTGAAAACAGTCACGCTAAGGATGCACTCTCCTTGCGCTCTCCATCACAGCTGGAACGAGACGCCTATGTTCAGGCTCTTGCTCGCTTCTCCCTACTGACAGCCAGCTCCAGCATCACAGAAATGAAGCAAAAAAACATTGACACCATAAAGACACTAATTACTGTGGCTCACACGGATGGCAACTACCTTGGGAATTCCTGGCATGAGGTATGTGTGTTCTTTTGAAAGCCTGGCAGTTACGTCTTCCTTGCTGGGTGACTCCAGGCCTCCCTCATACTGACTGGCATTCTTTGGCCAGCTCCATTTTCTTGAAATCAAGCCTAACTTTAATTCGAGGTCTTCCCTTATCCACTGATACCTCCCGTGTCTGGAAGTCAGACTCTGGGGTCATGTTGGGTGAACTGTGTTCAGATGCACCCCAACAGAGTGCCCCGGCACCCGCGGCGAGGACAGGCATAGGGTACACTTCTCCTCCTTCCCCATGTCCTGTGCGCTTCCTGGGAGCGGTTATCTTCAACAGACTGCGCTAAAGCAAAGCCAGGAGCCTGATGCCTTTCGTGACAGTACCTAAAAAGAAATGGTCGGCACTGCAGTGCACCACTGGGGGCGATTGCCAGTGCCTCACACTTTTACTTAAGCAGTGTTCACAGATGACAGTTTAGGGATGAGCGTCATTGATGTGAGCGAGCATGTTTGAAAGGTGATGCAGCAAAATAGAGTTATTCCAAGGAAAAGATTAGAAACAGTCTCAGGTTCCCAATGGCTGTGGAATGAGAGATTGCTCTTTTTTTTTTTATTTTTAAGCGTGGTACAACATTTCTTAGAATGTTACCTGGCCATTTAAAATGATATTGCAAAAATACCTAATGAACCAGTGAATAGCTACTTGCTCTCCTGCAACTTTTTCTTTCACTTGGGCAGAATGATGAATCTGCTGTGCCATCCTGCTAGTTGCCAAATTTCCAGCAGCACCTGGAAATACTAGAAGCAACTTGAGTTGAGTTAATTAGTGGTCAGATGCTTGAGAAGTCAAGTTAGAGCCTTAACTTCTTGGCATAGATGTAGATGACATACTTTACAATACAGTAATCACCAGATTTTGGAAAAGAGGGAGCATTGATAGATTTTTTCAGTGATAATTTAATAGATCATGCTGTGAGGAAAAATCAGGATGCTTCTCTTTGATTGAAGTCTCTCTCAATCAAGAGGAAAACAATTTATAAGTAAAAACACACAGCTCTAAAATACCACTTAGAGTCCTGTACTCTGGGACTGAATTACAAGGTTAGCATGAAAGAAAAAACTCAACTTTAGTCACAGGTTCCCTTGAACATTTCTAAGGAGCATTTTGCCTGGAAAAATGCCCTGTTGTCCCTGTTGTCCCTCAGTGAGTCTCATGCAGCCAGTCTTCAGCCAGTAGAAGATGAGATTTATTTCTTTTTCTTCAGGCAGTTTTCTTCAGGGAGACAGGTTTGTGTGAAATAGATGTCCCCAAGCACCAGAGCTGCTCCTCAGGCCTGGCAGCTAGTCTTCCCCTACAGCACACTCACCCTGGGGCACGTGCACATTCATTCGATTAACCAAACAATGACTGTCCAGCCATTTTAAGTGCTTGAGATTCAGCAGCAAACAAGATAGAGCTAATACTCTGTTGGCGCTTGAGGCAGAGAACAAAGAAATACATGGCATAATGCCAAAAAGGGAAAAAAAGTGTGACCTGAGAGTGGTGATGGGGTGGGGGTGTGATCTCAGTGTGGTCTCTCTGAGGGAGATGTGCCTGAGGTGGGAATCAGAGGGAGCCATGGCAACAGGAAGAGCAGAGGGGTGGCAGCCCGGGGGGCAGGGGCAGACCTGTCAAGTTAAGGGGGCAGCAGTGAAACCAGTATGTTACGAGAGGGAGAGCAGGAAGGGAAGGGGGCTGGGGGTGGGGTGCCTGGGCCACACTAGAGGGCGTGCCCACTTAGTGGCTGGGGGTCCAGTCCCCTCCTCCTATCAAGGGCTCGCCTTCATTGAGACTCACTGTATAATTAAGCATGTAGTGGCATGCTTCCATTGTGACAGCTTTTCTTTTGCTCATTTTCTTTTTCCTTTTTTTAATAATTTTTTAAAAAGTCAGTCTTCAAGACCGATACTCCATGGATTGCCTAGCCAGGGCTAGGGAAACCATCCTAAGAAGAAAGAAAAGCTATTTCAAAGGACACTTTAATGACTATGCTTGTAGTGCCCTTTTCAGGCTGAAAAGTGAGAGCTGATTTCTTTACATTTTCTTTTCATTAGATCCTGAAATGCATCAGCCAACTGGAGCTTGCTCAGCTGATAGGAACTGGGGTGAAGACCCGCTACTTATCTGGGTCTGGGCGTGACAGAGAAGGGAGCCTGAAGAGCCACACGTTGGCGGGAGACGAGTTCATGGGCCTTGGCCTCAGTAAGTGTCCAGGCCCACAGCTGGCCACCCTGGGTCTGCACGTTACAGGGTGACACACTCTTGCCTCACTGTCGTGCACCGCCACTGCCTCTGTGCCATCTGGCAGTGTGTTTCTGCATGAAGTGGGAGTGTTGCTTCGGCTCTCTTAATCATGATCAACTGCCAGTAAATTGCCTATTTTACCAAAACCAGCAGGGGCACTACTTTGTTTTCTATACATGTGGCTACACTGTTGGAGAGGGAGGGGCCAGGGAACTTAGTTTAGGCTACTTGGGTGTTTGGAGTATCCCTGATTTCTGCCACTGTTGCAGGTAACTTGGTGAGCGGTGGTGTGGATAAAAGGCAGATGGCTAGCTTCCAGGAGTCGGTGGGCGAGACCAGCTCTCAGAGCGTGGTTGTAGCTGTGGACAGGTACTGATTCTGTTCCCCAGTGAGGCTGGAGTGGCGCCTTCTTGGGGTTCTCAGTTTCCCACTCCTATTGCATGACATGCTGTGAGAGTTTGACTCTGCCTCCCTTCTCTTTTGATGTGTTACATTCTCTTTATCAGTATTCTGCTCTTGGCTCAGTGCTGTACTTTTGATGCCTCGTTATTTATTTTAATGGAGGTGCCAGACCTAAAATGTTTCCTTTTTGCCTTTTCTAAGGGCTCAAAATGGAAATTTCAGCCTCCAAACCTAATTTTTATGTTATTATGTCTAATTCCCTTCCTAGAATTTTTACTGGGTCCACCAGACTGGATGGAAACGCAATAGGTATGTATTTGACTCACCTGTGATGACCCTGGGAGCCTCCTGCTGTCTGACAGGACTAACAGGGCCTCCTGTGTTGTCGGGTCTGCCGTAGTTGACTTTGTCCGTTGGCTGTGTGCTGTGTCCATGGACGAGCTGGCTTCTCCCCACCATCCCCGAATGTTCAGCTTGCAGAAGATTGTGGAGATATCATACTACAACATGAATCGGATCCGGCTGCAGTGGTCCCGAATATGGCATGTGATTGGTGATCACTTCAATAAGGTGATGCTTCAGATTCAAAAAGCACTCTGTTGGGGCTTAAATTATTAAAGAAAAAGAAAGGCAGTCAACTGGGGCAAAACACAGAAGCATAAAAAATTGGCTGTATTTTCTGGGTTCCTGTAATTAATTTCCTGTGGAATCGAGTAGGAGCTAATAGTACTCAGAGACTGAACTAAAAACCAGTAGTACTGAATAAATACCCCATACCTGGGAGGCAGGCTCATCCCACACAGGCTGTCGCTGAGTCACTGTGCAAACACTGCTGCTTGAAAGCAGTGCAGATCCTGAGGTGCCTTATAGCCAAGATCGAGCTACAGTCAGAGAGCCTCACCCTTGACTGTTCCTGCTGCTTGTGTTCTGGCTTCCATCGCCACCACTTCCTGCAGCCTTTGTCAAGGAAGTTAGCATTTGTTTGCAACTCAGAAGCGAACCAGAGACAAGTGACAGGCTTTCTCTGCTAGGAGAAAACCAGACCGATCTTTCTCTCCACTAAGGGTTTTAGGTACTTACCGGTGCACACACACACACACTGAAGAAGGAAATCAGAAGAATGTGGGTTGTATATCTGAGTTCATGTGCTTCTTCAGGGGACGATAAGAACTTAGTAGTCCTATTTTCCATCAAAATGCTTTTCATGCTTTCAAAACCGTTTCCGTAGGTGTGGAGGTGGCTGTAGAACAGATGTTTACAGTTAGTGTTATTAAAAGCCAGTCTATGCAAAAGAGAATTGCCCTCTCTACATTGAAGAGAAGAAAACCCATAAAAAGTAGCCTGCCGCTGGCGTGGAGCGCAGGCATTAGCTTGCTGTAGAGACTTGTGGCATCTCCGCAGTCCTGTTCAGAGCTGGCAGTGTGATGCTGCTAACGTGGGGTGGGGAAGACGTGGGCACTGTTGGCTCCACAGGCCACTGCCAGCCTGCTCTGGCACTCACTGAAGTGAGGCTTTGTCAGATGCAGTCTTGCTTCTGACTTGCCACATCAGCCAGTCAACATTCTCTGTTTCCTGTCAGCTCAAAGTAAGGGCCCTAACAGCACACCATCTGGCTGACAAACCAGCCATGGCTAACTGCCTTGCACCAGGCACGAGACAGGTGAGGGAGGTCCTGGCTTGTGTGGCGCTCACCCACACTTGATGATCAGATGAATGAGGATAAAGGATCCAGCAATGTAGTGTGTCAGGCTTCTTGCGATGGGTGCTCAGGGTTTATGTCTGAACCCTCAGTGAGCAAACAATCACAGCCTGCAGATGACCCAGGGTACATCTACTGAATAACAGTCTCGTATGAAGTAGTCAGCTGACTCAGCAACCACCTCTCACTAGCTGGGTAAATAAATTCTTAGTGGACCACTTGACGTAATTGACGCGAAAGAACATGTGAATCATAATTTTACTATACCTTGCATTCTTGTCTGAACCTGTGAACCTGTGACAGCTAAGCTGTAACACACATTGCTCATTTATTCTACAAAATCGTGTGTGTGTGTGTGTGTGTGTCCCCAAAAGGGCAGGTTTGTCATAAAAAAGGAAAGGCAGTTTGGTAGACACAGGTATGCGGAAAGAGCTGCCCCTGAAAGGGACAGGTTTGCTAAAAGCAACACCTGCAGTCACGAGTGGGCAGGAGAGCTGCAATTCTGAAAGACCCTTTTGCTCACCTCTGTGGAATCTTCTGTTCTCTTGGAAATGTTAATCTAAAAATGTTTTTCTAGTGCTTCCCCTGGAAGAACCTGAACTTCCATATTCAGTGGAACTTTTTTGTGAGGGGACATTAACTCACAGAAGTTACTTTTCCTACCTGCGATTCTGTTGTCAAGACTCTGCATGCCAATTCTCAGTTACCTAGAGGCCTCTTATGGGCAAGCTTAGGATATAGGCTGGCAGATGGTAATTAGACATTTCATAGTTATTAACTTCATTACTAAAGTCCGTTCCATCTAGTCAATGGTGCTGATTAGTACAAAGTTGTGGAAAGTTCATTTGCTCACTCTGGGGCTTTTCATTCCTTCCACTATCTCAGAAGAATGTTCTGCTTCCCTTGGGGAACAGGAGCACATAAGAACCTCCCGCTTTAAAGGAAATAGATGGCTGAGTCCAGCTTTAATAACTCAGCCCTTGCAGCTCTAGCAGTCATGGGACATGTGACCCTGGGGGTGCAGAGCAGCATGGTGGATGTGTGTGTTCCTGACTGCCCTGCATTTGTAGGAGGATAGTCTTACTAGTTTCTGATTACACCAACACATTCCCGTTTAAAAAAAAAAGTACAGCTGAGGCCAACTTTAACCATCACCACCACCAACTGACCCTCCCTCAAGGTAATTTTTCTTACCAGTTTGGAGCGTATCTTTCCCAGAATGATTGTCCAGTTTTGGTGTTTGGAACCCACACCCACAATTGCTGCACTGTGCCTGCTGCACTGGCTTTCTTTTTCTGTTTAGGTTGGTTGTAATCCCAATGAAGATGTGGCTATCTTTGCTGTTGACTCACTAAGGCAGCTCTCCATGAAGTTTCTGGAGAAGGGAGAATTAGCCAACTTCCGCTTCCAGAAAGATTTTCTGAGGCCCTTTGAGCATATTATGAAGAAAAACAGGTATGTGCATCCTGGAAGACCTTTGGTCACATTCCCCCTGAGGGTCTAAAAATACCTCCTAATAGTAACCACGTGGGTTTTTTTCTCCTTTGTTGTTGGAAGCAAATAAAATGGAGAGACTGATTTATCTCTATTGTCTCTAAGTCAGTCACACTAAGATCTATGTATAGCCTTTCCCAGAAGGACAGTTCTCACCACTGCAGCCAGTAGAAATGTGGCCTGCGTTCCTGGGAGCTGTTGACTTTTATACGCACTTCAGCTTGCGTTCTCTAAGAGTAGAAGCCATTGGAAATGTGTAAACAGAGAAGTGAAGTGGTTTCACATATTTTAAAGGGTCACCTAATATTTACCCATGGAAAATGGGAGGCCATAGGATGAGACAGGCAGCTGTTGTCGCTGTCCAGTAGTAAGTAGTGGTAAGATGCTGAAGGATAGTAGTAACGAGTAGTGGTAAGATGCTGAAGGATAGTGATTATACCTGGCTACCAGAATTTTTAATATGAGTGAAAATTTTTTGAGCCCCCAAAATGGACTAACAATGTCTTAAACCACAAGACTGTGCTCTGGAGCTCTCAGAGGCAAGCAGTCCCAATTTTGGTTCCCCTGCTCGAGCAGTCACTAAGGCCTGGGCTCTTTCCACCCTTCTGTTTGACCACAGGGTTGACTTGAGCTTATTTTATGATGGCAGGACAGAGGGTCTACCTCTAAGCATAGTACTTTGTTCAAAATGAGGCTAACGATTTTTTTTAAATAAATGTAGACTATGGGTGCTTTAGAAAGTTGTCCTTTGTTTTGGTTTGTTTTTTTTTTTAAGATTTATTTATTTATTTGTACAGAACTGGGGTACAGGCCAGAGATGTGGAGGGTGAGAGGATTCACCAGAGACAGAGTGGGGCACAGAACAGGCAGATCGACGAAGTACACTGCTGAGGGGAGCAGTGGGCGGGTCAGGAGAGGTCTGCCTCGCCATGTGGATCTCCTCCGGGGCAGGCGGGGATCAAACTCATGCAGAAGTGGCTTAAGCTTCTTTGTGCTGTGCTTTAACCCGCTGCGCCACCAGGGAGAGCCCAGTTGTCCGTTGTTTTAAGTGCCACTTCTGAGTGATGAACTGTGTTCATTTTCTACCTGCTGCCCAAAGTATGTATGATGTGGCCACCCATTCCTTTCACAGGTCTCCGACCATCCGGGACATGGTGATCCGTTGCATTGCCCAGATGGTGAACTCGCAGGCGGCCAACATCCGCTCAGGCTGGAAGAACATCTTTGCTGTGTTCCACCAGGCAGCCTCTGACCATGATGGGAACATCGTGGAGCTGGCCTTCCAGACCACCGGCCACATCGTCAGTAAGTAGCTCTGGCCCTCCCCCCAAAGAAATGTCCCACCTGGCGGTCCAGAGGGAAGACTACTTACTTGGTATTTTATTCCTCAAAGGTGCTCCCTTATTTGAGCTACCCTGTGACAGAATATTGTGCCAGATGTATTTAATGTGTGCTTACATGAGCACACGTGCACAGATGCAGGGAGAGGCAGTCCTTGTTATTTGCAGATGTAACATTTGTGAATTCACCTACTACTAAACTTTCAGACCCATTCTCCTTGTGCTTCTGTAGTTGTTGGCTAACATGCATACTTACAGAGCAGCAGAATCCCTGGGTCACCCAAGCTGTGTGTCCCCAGCTGAGGTTGAATGAGGTGGTGCTCTGTCTTCTCATTTCAGTCCTTTCTGCAAACAGGTTGCCTCTCTGCATTATGTGTAGTGCCATGAACTTGCAGAAATGCCGCAGTGATTCTCTTAGAGCTCACAGAAGTCAGTGCCTCTGGAGGCTGCACTCACTCTGAGTGTGTGTGTGTGTGTGTGTGTGTGTGTGTGTGTGTGTTTTAACCCCAATTTCTAAATCCTGGTCTTATAATAAAAACAAAAATGTGCCTGTGTTTCCCCAGCAACTATCTTCCAGCACCACTTTCCTGCAGCCATCGATTCCTTCCAGGATGCTGTGAAGTGCTTATCAGAGTTTGCCTGCAATGCTGCATTCCCCGACACGAGCATGGAAGCCATCCGGCTCATCCGCTTCTGCGGGAAGTATGTCTCCGAGAGGCCGCGGGTATGTGCCCTCTCCTTGCTCGATGGGCGGTGAAGGGCAGTTGAGTCATGGGGCACCCTTGCTCCTGGCAAAACATTTTCCAGCCCCAAATGCTGGTGTTACAGGGGTTCATGCTTCTGTTGTTTTGTATGATATGAAATCATTTTATTCATACTGAACTTTTACATGGTTTCCTACAGATTGTACTTATAGAAAATAAGAGTATTTAACTTTTAAATTTTGGAGAACTGTACAACTGAAACTTGGAAAGAAAACAAAGCTCCTTTCTAGGAAATAACATTTGCCATGGTGACATAAATGAGACATCACACCTAAATACCATCTTCTGTTTTCTCCTAAAAATGTTTGGGGCCTTTCTTTTTCACTTCCCCAAGAAGAATGCTTTGTTTCAGTGACTGAATCAAATACTCGGCTTGGGAAAAAACAAGCTCATCTGTCGCTTCTTGAGCATTCTGTATAGAACAGTAGACCTGAGGGGGACAGAGCTGGTCCCAGCCCCAACTTGTTAAGCTTGAAGAGAATAGTCGTCCCTGTTACTGGGCATCTGCACGTGTCAGGCAGTGTACTGGCTATTTTCTACCTGTTGATTCATTTCATGTCCACATCAGACCTGGGAAATGGGCAGTAATACCCTGAGTGTCCAGGGAGTTAGATGAAGCACATAGAGAAGCTGCCTTATGTTAGAGAATCAGTTGGTCAGGAACTTCCATGCCATCAGATGATAACCCCCTTCAAAAGTGGTCACTGAGTAGAAGCCATAAAATCCCAGAGAGGAGACGGAGAATAGGGCTTCACATCCAAACTGGAAAACTGTCAACTCCTAGCTGCAGTTCACCTTACTCTTGTGCCTTAGTTAATTCATCTATAACATGGGCTGTTTCCCCTCCCCCTGGCTAATGGAGTGGTTATGTAACACATCCTCCCAGTTCCCGGCCCCCAGCAAGCACTCAGTAAACAGTGGTGCTGCTGCTGTTATTTCAAGTAGGATACACAAGAACATTTCAGAAAGACTTCAGATGTTGATTCTTCTGGGATATTTTGCTTGTACCATAACAGTCAGTGCTCTTCCTAGCGGATCACTCCCAATCCCAGGACTTTGGCGAGCCACCCACTCACTCTTCTAAGACCCACAAAGGTCCATTGGTTCATCTGGTGAAACAGCTTACGTACCCATGGGACGGGTTTGTCTTGCTCTCCTGGAGTTCTCCATGTGCCCTGGCTGAATGGACCATTCTAGGATAGGAAAATATGGGAGGCTAATCATTCCCATTCTTTCCTTTGCTTACTTGCTCTACGACTGAGAAGTGGCTCTCATTGCAGGTGTTACAAGAATACACAAGCGATGACATGAATGTGGCTCCTGGCGACAGAGTCTGGGTCCGAGGCTGGTTCCCCATCCTCTTTGAGCTGTCCTGCATCATTAATAGATGCAAGCTAGATGTACGGACCAGGTAACCATGCCCCTTCTTGCACTGAATGAGCCTCAGTCACCTTACCTGCCTCCACTCACCGCTCTCTTCTCTGCTGTTCTCTTCCCCCATCCCACTCCCTTTTTGCACTGGCTTTGTTTCCTCCAGGGGACTCACAGTCATGTTCGAGATCATGAAGAGCTATGGCCACACCTTTGAAAAGCACTGGTGGCAGGACCTGTTCAGAATTGTGTTCAGGATTTTCGACAATATGAAACTCCCAGAGCAACAGTCAGAGGTAGGTGATGAATAAAGCACTGCCGGGTAAGATGGGGAAGGCTCTGAGGATTGAAATGGAGTCTTAACTCCTGAGCTGCTGGAAGAGTATTTTAAAGAAAGCTGCCTTCCTGGCCCTCTTCTCCCAGAATTGACTAGTAAGGGACTCTAGTCATCTGAAAAACGGTGAGAGGAAATAAGCCATCCTGGGCCAGCCTCCGGTGCCTGCGCTCAAGGCTTCACCCTGCCAGTTCTGTATATACCTGCCTGGTCCTCTGAGTCACGTGGCCTCTATCAACTTCTGAACAGCCAGTGACCAGTGACTGTCTCTGGCCTCTTTAAAACCCATTTTAACAAGACTTTTAATGAAGTTATAGTTGGAGGTGATGCTGGCAAATACTAGACCTTTGTTAAAATGGATGTTTAATGCCTCTGGGGCAGGAGGGTGAGGAAAGGATATTCTCTCTCAAGATTTTGATATGGAGAAGTAACTTTTTTTACCTTCTTTTCAGGACACCATTCCCTCTTCCCCCCACCCCTAGTGTAAAAGTAACATGTTAAATATGTGAGATTAGGAATATATAAAAACGTCATAATTTTGCCATTCAGAAATCAGAGAGAAACTTGGCAAATTTCCCTCAATTTTCTTCATCCTTTAAATATGGTCATAGTCATAGCATAGATATAGTTCCCTATTACTTTAACCTAACCTAATTTTTTCTTTATTATAAAAAAAAGAAGGAAAACTGAAAAACAAAGCAAAAGTACAAACACTCACAGCCCCACGTTCCAGAGGCCAGCACGGTCACCCAGGTCCTCGGGGCACGGTGGTGTGTGCTGGAGCAGGCACCTCTCTTTTTCACAGTGTCGTCTGCCGAGCACACTGGGTCCTGCCTTTTCACTTAACGTGTGAATGTTTACAAATGAATATGTAACAAATGAATGTCTCTCTCGACTGTACACTCTTTTCCAACAGTGCTTTTACAGTCTGGAACATACACCCAGCCGTGGCTATTCCACAGCCCTTGGAAATTGCTTCCAGTTTTTCTTTCTTTGAACCACACTGAAAGCAACTTTTGCCCAGCTACACTTTTGCTTATTCTTTTGTGTGTTTTGGACACGTGGGTCAAGTTGGGTGACCCGATTTTTCAGCTACCTTTACTCTCCTGCCTGCCACGCCTGAGAACCCTTCTCCATGCTCTTCACACTACTCCAGCTCCTCATACTTTGGCTTATTTCATCATTGTCTGACAGGCCAAACATACCACATTAAAAGAGTTAATTGCTAATGAGGTTGCTATTTCCCTTCACTTCAGTGATTGTGGCCTCTTCCTGGTTTTCCACAGCCTCAGTCCAGTACAGGGTTAGCCATCGCCTGTTGATTTATTAGTATTTAACGTAGAAGTAATTCAGCATGAATTGCAGATGATTTTACCCACTGGGCTATTCTCATTTCCTTCTCACTTTGGAAGATTTTAGCTTCAAAGTAACCAGATCAGTTGGTTCTTTCTTTATGACTTCTGTTTTGGAATTGTGCTTATCAACCCTTCCTTTCTCCATGACTTTATAAAACTATCTCCTCTGATAATTTTATGACATCATTTTTAATATTTACATTTTAGGTATAAGATGTGAGTAGTTACCATAATCTCACACTTGATTTTTCTAAATCATTGAAACTTTTTAAGTATCACTTTGAATGATTGCTTAATGTTTTGGTATATGGCATTACCTTCCAGAACAGTTTTACACAGTTGACCATGATATATGAGACTGTCAATCTCACACAGTGTTAGTGGCTTTTAACATAATCTTTTTATTCTTTTTCCAGAAATCTGAGTGGATGACAACAACATGCAATCATGCACTTTATGCTATTTGTGATGTATTTACCCAGTTCTATGAAGCTTTGAATGAAGTTCTTCTTTCTGATGTGTTTGCACAATTGCAGTGGTGTGTAAAACAAGGTATACTTTATTGTCTCTAAGCATCGTTTTTCTTGACATGGTCCTTAATGAGAAATTAATTTTTTCAAACTATCAAAGGCATAGGTATAACACCAAGGAGTAGAGTGTATAATTTAGTTAGATTTAAAAAAAAATCTCCCCCTATTTCTTTAATATTGATATAGTTAGTTCTTATTTTTTTTTTTTAAGATTTATTTATTTATTCGTACAGAACTGGGATACAGGCCAGAGATGTGGAGGGTGAGAGAATTCACCAGAGACAGAGGGGAAGCAGAACAGGCAGATCGACGAAGTACACTGCTGAGGGGAGCAGCGGGCGGGTCAGGAGAGGTCTGCCTCGCCATGTGGTCACCTCCAGGGCAGGCAGGGTTCGAACTCATGCGGAAGTGGCTTTAGTTTCTCAGTGCAGTGCTTTAACCCGCTGCGCCACCTGGGAGGGCCAGTTAGTTCTTATTTTAAAAAATGTACCATTGGAGGTTATACTGTTCTTTCTACTTCTGTATGTTTAAATTTTGCTGAAATTAAAATGCTTTTTAAAAGTTTTTCCAAAACAATTTGATTTTAAAGTTAAGCGTTGGCCCTCTCTGGTGGCACAACGGGTTAGGATGCAGCACTGCAAGCTGGCTGCAGCCACTTCAGCATGAGTTTAATTCCCCCACCCCAGAGCTGACCCACATGGTGCAGCAGACCTCTCCTGTCTCCCCGCTGCTCCCCTCAACAGTGTACTTTGTCAGTCGGCCTGTTCTGCTCCCCACTCTGCCTCTGGTGAATCCTCTCACCACCCCTGCACCTCTAGCCTGTACCCAAGTTCTGTATGCCTAAATAAATAAATCTTTAATATAAATAAATAAGTGTTAAGAAGGCTGATGCTGATGTGGCAGCAGTTGGAGAATGTTTTCTTTGAATGACTAAATTTAGAAACACTGGTCCACTATTTTCTATAGTTGTTTACCATTCCTCATACTGGAACCATTTTAGTAAGTAGCAAAAATTTTGACCTCTTCCATCCCTAACAATGGTAAGTAGCTGTTTGTAATGTTCTTAAAACTAAAAAAGTTATAATGCTGCCTATCACATTCCTTTAATTAATTAAAAGGCTTCTTAACCCACTAGTTGCTTAGTCTCCACCTCACAATATGAAGTAGTGTGGAGTCAAAATAAACAGTTGCACTTTTAGGAAAGGTGCTATTTCATCTTGCAGATAATGAACAGCTGGCTCGATCAGGTACAAATTGCTTAGAAAACTTAGTAATATCCAACGGAGAGAAATTCAGTCCTGACGTCTGGGATGAAACATGCAATTGCATGTTGGACATTTTCAAAACAACCATCCCACACGTGTAAGTATCGATGCCTTTTTCAAGCTCTTTGTATTTGGTGGGTACTGTGGACTCAAGGTGGCCTCGCACACTGATCATTTTCCTTCTCGTACATTCCCGTAGTTTGCTGACATGGAGACCTGCAGGAATGGAGGAAGAGTCATCAGAAAAACACCTGGTAGGGTTTCTTATTGTTGTCTTTTCTCTGATCTCATAGTATAGTAAAATACTTAGCACCCCAAAGAGTTTGTGCTTCTCTGATGGTGAGTTTAAAAAGGTTATAAGATCTTAAAATTACATCAGTGTGTTTTTTCAAAAGTGTAGAAAAGTATTTAAAAAATAAGTCAATACACCCCCAATAAAAACCACAGTTTACATTGCTCATTTTATTTTCATGTGATGGCGTACATATCACCCACACGTAGGTGGGCTCATCAGCACATGAAGTATTGCTTAACAGGATTGTGAGCATTTTTCAGCATTAAATACCCTTCAAGAACAGCCTTTTCAGTGGCTGCACATTATTATAAATCATTTAACTAATTCTCCCTCGTTGGATTTCAGGTCAGTTCTAGAGTTCACTTTAAATAATTACAAATGATGCTTTGGCATAATTATCTTCATTACCGTAATAAATAGAGTACTTTCCTCTCCACCAGTGAAACAGTACTTAGTTTTTATGTGAGGCCACATAAAGAAGTTCTGTGTCAAGTTCCATTTAAAGTGTTTTGGTTTTATTGCCAGAGCAGGGGAGGTTGGTGTTATAATATTAATTGTATGCCCAAATAACTATTAAGTCATTAATTTTAAAGGATATTTGGGACATAAAAAGTTAAAAATGAAACATTTTGATGTTTTTTGGGGTCTTTTTTTGACTATTGTTATCTGCTGTCGACTTAACAACAACAACAAAAGCTAGCTATTGCCCCACTAGTCTTTTTTACTTGATCTCATTAGAAATTTATCACACTTGTTATTATTAAGTCATTGTACATAAAGAAGTTCCCTCTAAATTAAAATAAGAAAGTGTGAAATTTTGATGCGGTGAAGGGGAATCATTGGAATTTGTGACCCGTCATGCTGCTTTTCAGAAGTGCTGGTTTCAGTATGCCACGTAATAGGACTTCTAGCTGAGTGAGTCGTCTGTATTCCACAAGGCCACCTAGCATTATGCCAGACCTCTTTGCCCAGATAAGGGAAGTGAACAAGGTATCTTCTCTGATTTACTTTTAGGACATGGACCTGGACCGCCAGTCTTTAAGCAGCATAGATAAAAATGCCTCCGAGAGAGGCCAGAGCCAACTCTCTAACCCAACGGATGACAGCTGGAAAGGCAGGCCATATGCAAGTAAGGCCACTTTTGGTTTGGGTTTGTTTCTATTACCCAATTCCTGTAGGGAGCACATTTGTGGGATTGGAATATTCAGAAGGCCCAAGAACATGGGTGATAGGCCCTGTACCCCCGTGGCCCAGACTACAGTTTGCTGGCCTGTGGCATCTAGTGCCAGTAGGTTCTTAAGTGCCTTTCCAGAAACATGCACATATACAACAGATTTGCCTGTACGGAGCATCGTTTTCTCCCTGTACCTTAGAGATCACTCAGAAACAGCACCTAAAGAGCTTCCACATTGTCTTACACTGTTTTCATTATCCCAGGGTGTAGATGTACTATTATTTGCTTAATTGTGTCCTTTCTATGGGCATTGTGGCATCTCTAGCTTTTCTCTGGAAAAGCAGTACTGGAAAGCAGTACTGCCCAGAGTAATCGCATCCTTAAGTCATGTGTTTCAATAGCAAATTCCTAGGAATAGGATGCTGGGTTAACAGATAAGCATACCTTCTGTGTCGGCAAGTTTTCCAGGTTGCCTTCCTGTAAGGTTGTACCTACTTGCATAGCTGCGCGAATACCAGGTAGAATCTGGTCACTTTGGAGTACTTTAATTCGCAGTTTTCAAATTATGAGTGAAACTCATAGATTTTATACGCATAGGATAAACCACTTCTATTTTGTTTTCTGTGAACTCTATATGTATAATCATTACTTACTTTGTATTAACTGTTGGCCTTTTTTATTTATTCATTTAGAGAAGCTCTTTGTATGTTAGAGCTCCCTTTTCTGGATATGAATCTCAAGTTATGTTTGCCAGTTTGTCTCTTAGTGCTGCTGACAGTTTCGCTGTCTGTCATTCAAACCCTGGCTTCCCAGGTGCTGTGTGCCAGGCCCTGTGTGTGTGCTTCATGTGTGTGCGTTCACGTCGTCCTTGCACTGGCCCTTTGAGGAGCTACTGTCTTACCTTCCCATGGACTGGGACTTCAGTGACATGACTCACCAATACGTGGTAGAGATTCAGCTGCTGACAGTAGAATCTCTGTAAAGATTCACCCAGCTGAATGGAAAGTTGCAATTTTTCTGGTGACATTCTGGGTGCTTTGAGGTCGTGCACCCCTTTGTCTTCATAGCAGTCCCCCCCTCTTTGGACCACCCTCAATAAGGCATCCGATAAGAAGGAGCTGTGGTGGAGACGGGTGCACTGCAGGGTGAATATGTACAGCTGAGGGTCTCTCCAGAGTCTAGTGAGAATGACTGTTTCCTCATCAATTCCAGATAGAGTGGCTGACTTGTGTGTGTAGGGACCAAGTGTACGCTTTTTAAGTACAACTTCTCTAAGTGTGGCAGGACGTCTCTCCTCTGAGAAATGCCTGGGACTTGAGACCCCTCTTTCCTCTGGTCTCCCTTATCAGCCTCCCTTCTGGGCATAAGCTCAGTCAGTCAAATCACTTACACTACTGTATTGCCTTCTTCCTGTTTACTGTTGACAGATGACACAGTTGAATTGGGCCAACTTAAATGTACATCTCTGCAACTCTATTATATTTTTTGGTAATCAAATCTAATTTCACTTGGAGAATTTTTATATGTATATGTAACTTTCAAACTCACGTTGAAAAACCTGAAGCTGACCCAACCTCTTTTTGTTTTTTGTCTCTAAAGCTTCATTTCATGTTTTTGATTTTCTGATTTTATAATAAGTTTAAAAAAGGAATCTATTTCGACTCGAGTCACATTAGCCAACCGTTACATAGTGCCTGATGGGGGCCACCCCTGAGCCCAGGGACTGAGAAGGCCAAGGTAGATGAGATGCTACTCAGAGTCTAGTCAGCAGGCAGAAACCACACCAACAGTCTGAGCAAGGCATGCTACATAGAGAGGTGCTAGCTAGCCAGAGATGACTTACCACCAAGAGACAACACTGGAGGAATGTGGGAGTAGAAAATGTCAGGAGCAAGTCCTAGCTCCACGGCAGACAGAAGATGGACCAGGAATAAGATTTTCTTGTTTAAAAACAAGATTTATTTTTATTTATTTATGCATACAAGAACTGGATACAAGCCAGAGGTGGGAGTAGGGAGTGGTATGAGAGGATTCACCAGAGACAGAGTGGGGAGCAGAGCAGGCAGAATGACGGAAATACACTGCTGAGGGGAGCAGCGGGGAAACAGGAGAGGTCTCATGCACCATGCAGGTCAGCTTCCTTACAGGGGATCAAACTCCCACTGCAGTAGCTGGCAGTAGTTTGATAGCATTTAACCCTTGTGCCACCAGGGAGGCCCATGGAAATAAGATTTTAAATGAGCCTGTCCCTGCTCCGCTCTTCAAGACTGGGAGTGAGACTTCTGTGGAGAATTCAGCAGCACTGGGAACCTGATCTTTCATGATGAGGGCAGTTCAAAACTGGTCTGTAGGAGTGTCCAACAGAGAATCCCCTGAAAGACATAGGATCTGCATTACTGATTCCCTCACAGAGAATCTTCTGAATCTTCTGAAGGACAAAGGCTCTGCATTACTGATTCCCTCACTCTTCGCACAAATAACACATTTTGGGAGACCATTCCTGACCAGCTTGCTTAAACATTCCGTCTCACTCTGATCCTTCCCGTTGCCACCCCTTTGTGTGTTATCTTTTGACTTACTACTAATCTCATACTTCAGTGTTTGCTTATCATCTGCCTTGGCCATGGGGACAGAGATTGTTTATTCATTGCTGTGCCATAGCATCAAAAATCACACCTGGCACAAAGTAGAAGCTCGGTGAGCATTTGTTCAGTACTGGCTGAATCATTATTAGGGTTAATCTTTATCATCTAATATAGATCAGAAACTGTTTGCCAGCCTCCTCATCAAGTGTGTGGTCCAGTTGGAATTGATACAGACCATTGACAACATCGTATTTTACCCTGCAACGAGCAAAAAGGAAGATGCAGAGCACATGGTTGCTGCCCAGGTAAGGGGAGTGGGCCTCAGAAGGGCACTTGGCCACGGGGAGGCCGTTTCCACGCAGTGGTGTGTTGGCGCCGGCTCGTGCTGCTCGTCTTCTGTACTTAGCTCTCCTGTCCCCTCCACTAGCAAGACACACTGGGTGCGGATATTCACATAGAGACAGAGGATCAGGGCATGTACAAGCGCATGTCTTCCAAGCACCTCTTCAAGCTGTTGGACTGCTTGCAGGAATCCCATTCGTTCTCAAAGGCCTTCAATTCCAATTACGAGCAGAGGACAGTCCTATGGCGAGCAGGTAAGCCCACACGGCAGACAGACCGCTGTGGTTGTGGCCTCAAACAGCAAAACCTTTGGGAAATGTCTGACATTGTTCATAAAACTGTACACATTTTACACAAATATTTTCATGCTTGAGGAAGAAAGAAGGAAATGCTGGATAAATTTCATTCCACTACTAGGAACATTGCCTAACAACGTGAGTCTCAGGAAGGATTTGAAGGAAAAAGAAATTCATAAGACTTGAATTGATATAGCAAGTTAAGAAATGTTGCATTAGATTAAAATTGTGTAGTCATGAAATAAAATTTGTCTCTTAGGCTAGAAAGAAGATGGTGAATATTATAAAATACTGAACATATCTGAGTATGTTAAAGTTTTTTATATTAAGAATATTTCATTTTCATTAGCTCAGTTATGTGCTCCAGCATTCTCTTAAAAAATAAAGGAATGTTGTTGTTAAGTATGGTGACACAAAACGTGATAGCCTAAGAGAAATACAAAGCATTCATACATTTTCTGAAGCTTTTAGGGGTTTTCTGAAGCTTTTAGGGTCTTCTCCAGTTCTAAGCATAGCCACATAGTCCTGGAGTAAGGATATGAATGCATGTACAAATACATTCGCAGAGGTAATACTGAGAGCGCATTTTTTGAACTTTGCACAAAAATGATACTTTCAGTAAGTTTTTAGTAAGTTGCTCTGTTACCATTATTTTACTTGTCCACAAATGCCTATTTTAACTTAAAAATTTTTTAATGTTTTTCTCAATGGCTTAAAATACATATATGTAGATGTTTTATGCCTTTATATTAAGGTTTTGCTTCTGAGGATGGTTTTGAGAAAGTATATTTTTCATGTGCTTTCTGGAAAGAAAAACTCTTGCAACTTAGGAACATGCTAGAATTTTTAGTATTACCCTTAAGAAGATGAACTGAAAAACATTACCAGTCAGTGAGTAGATCTAAGTGGAAAACAGCTCAGGCCCTGAGGAACGGAGGGTCTTACACAGAGGATGAGCTCTCATGACTACCTTTTCTGATAGCCAAGTTGAGCTTATAAGAATGTGAGATATTCCAGCATTCCCTAAAGTGACTGTCTTAGGCCCCCACGTCATTTCTTGGCATTATCCCAGAAGGGTGCACTATTCATATGACTCTCTGACCTCTAGGTTTTAAGGGCAAGTCTAAACCTAATCTTCTAAAACAAGAAACCAGCAGCCTGGCCTGTTGCTTGAGGATCCTGTTTCGAATGTATGTTGATGAGAACCGCAGGGATTCTTGGGAAGAAATACAGCAGCGACTTTTAACGTAAGATTCAAATTTTTATCTCTAAAACACAGATGCATCACAATGATACTGTGACTTGAAAAGAGTAGGAGAAAAATACACATTGATGCCCCACAAACTATTTTCTTTTACTTTTTGCTTCTTTCTGCTGGCTCTTCTTTCACTTTTCTTAGTACACTCAAGAGGGGGGAGCCTCATTTCTTTGATGGCAGAAGTTTCTTAAAGCACAAAATGGTGGGCAGCGAAAAGCATCCTGAGCTTTGAGTGAACATACCTGGAGTGAGATCCTGACTGGTCCTCTCAAGACTGAGGTCAGCTCTGCCCTCCCATCATTCTTTCCAAGAGGAATGTGGTAGCATCATATGGCCTCCAGGATGTACTGACTTTGCCTCGGAAGGGAAGGAAGCCCTGGGGAGACGGCAGGACAACAGTGAGGGAGCCCCTGACAGAAAAGCAGATCTTTGCCCTCAGTCTTGGAGAACTCTGAGTAGGGTGCTTATGTTCTTTTTTATTTCTTGAAAATGTGCTAACATTACCATGCTGAGCTGGCGACAGTGTGCTAAAACCACGAGGGTTCCTGTACCACGAGGATGAGCACGGCGACAGGGTGTCTGGAAGTTGGGTGGCTTTATACGTGGAACCTTCACATGTTCATTCTTTATTTGATTCTCTATTTCCATTATTATGAAAGCAACTTAAGAAAATATCTTAGAAATAAGACTAAGGATTACTACCCAGAATATTTATTTCAGACTTATTTGTAAAGAAAAAAACTTAAGACAGCTCAACTCTGGAATGAATAACTAAATTATGCTATAGCAGATGAAAGAATATTATGTAATCTGTAACAGTATTTTTTTTTAAGGATTTTGAAACAGTTTTCTTGATGCGGAGCATGTTCATAATATAATATTCACCACAAATGAACAGAATGTCAAACTTAGGATAGTTAGATTTTCAGTAATGGCTTTTACATCATAGACCAAAAAACAAGATGCTGGAATGAAACTTGCCCTTGAAAGATAGATTTAAGGGCCTGTTGTTCAGTCATCCTACCAAAAATTCCTCTAACACAGATACATAAACGTTAGCTTTAAGCACAGCGTGTTGGGGACAGCAGCACTGGTTTGTTAGGTGAGCAGCAAGGCAGGCCACGTGCTCTGAGCTCACTGGGCTGCGGACAGCGATGCCCCGACTGTGCCAGCTCTGAGTGAAGCCGCCGTCAAACGTGCTTGTTCATTTCCTCTCGCAGAAGCCCCTCGAGTCGGTGCACTTGTTTATCCCCATTTACAGCTGAGAAACCAGGGCTCAGGAGTGTACTGGGTGCACAGACAGTGCTGGTGCTCGGTAACCCCCATTCTCTCCTCCAGGGAAAGCTCAGATGTGACACCTGTTGACTGTGTCTCCCCCTCTCTGATTCTTCCAGCGTGTGCAGTGAGGCGCTTTCTTATTTCATCACGGTGAACTCTGAAAGCCATCGGGAGGCCTGGACGAGTCTTCTGTTGTTGCTGTTAACAAAAACCCTCAAAATAAACGATGAAAAGGTATAATAAGCAAGTGAACTCCGATGTCTCCACTGGGACATCAGTGTGTGTGGGCTTTTCACTCAGACTTGGAACAGTTTTCTCAGTTCTTCCAAGGATATTTGCATAATTAGCATCGTTCTAGACAAGACAGGGAGAAGCATTCCTCATTACAAACAACAGATGCCTTAATACATTGGGGCTTTTTCCTTCAAAATGTCCCAGTTGAGAAACACTGCATTTGAAACCAAACATGTGCTGCAAGGATTTCAGTGTGGCTATGTTCAAGAAAGATGAGATTGTGAAGCACTAGTTTAAAACTCGGCCTTAGCTTTTACTGAAGTGAAAACTGACTTTGGTGGCAAGGTTGTCCCCAAATAGTGTTGTTGTTGTTTTTAACCTAATTCCTTTTTTTTTTTTTGAGATTTATTTCTACATACAGAACTGGGGTACAGGCCAGAGGTATGGAGGGTGAGAGCATTCACCAGAGACAGAGTGGGGAGCATAACAGGCAGGTGTACTGAAATCCTCTGCTGAGAGGAGCAGTGGGCGGGTCAGGAGAAGTCTGCTACCCATGTGGGTCACTCCCTGGCCAGGGATCAAACTCATGCTGCAGTGGCGATAGTAGCTTCATAGTGTGGAGCTTTAACCTGTCGTGCCACCAGAGAGGAAGGACCCCCATAGTTTGTGTTTAAATAGAATTAAAAGAAGTTTGAATTTCTAGGTTTTTGTATCTACTTTGTAATAGCAAGAAAAAGCACCAACATTATAAGAAGTTCCCAGGGTGAAATGAATACTTTTGAAATTGTGCCCCCCAAAATGGTGCCATGTCTAATTTTCTTTCTCTCCTTCTCTCCCATCTCAAGTTTAAAGCACATGCTTCAACGTACTACCCCTACTTGTGTGAAATTATGCAATTTGACCTGATTCCTGAACTCCGAGCTGTTCTGCGGAAGTTCTTCCTAAGAATAGGCGTTGTGTATAAGATATGGATTCCAGAAGAACCATCCCCAGGACCAGGGACACTGTCACCTTTGTGGTAGCCTTGGCTCCCTTGGGAGCCACTGCTGCAGCTCTGCAGGTTTACCATGCCACCTCTGCCTAGCACATCTCATCAAGGGTCAGACAGCAGCAACAGCAGTCGGCACACAGGAATGCAGGATGCCTGGATAAGGATGGCCTCTCCACTGGCCCCATCAGTCTCTGGCAAAGGCGTTGTGGTGTCATTAAACTGTTGCATACCCAGTCACCACAGTAGGTGGGGAGTCTGTTTCATCTCTGTCATTCCATTTTACTGGTTGAACTGTCTGTCCAGTCTGTCACGGCGCCCGCCGTCATTCTCTAGTTAAGTCCCTGATCGGCGATTAATGTTTCGTCAGAGGAAGTCACTCTCATTGAAAGTACTGAACATAGCTGTATAGGTTCGTGATTATTAGAGAGTATGTTAATAAAATTTCTTGTAATGGCTAAGTGCGCCTAAAATATGCTGGGTTTTTTGTTGTTTGAGTGTGTTAGAGAAGTTTGAGTGTTCTTTCTCGGTTGTGAGTCAGCTGTAGTTAGGTTAGTTTGGGGAAAGGTAAAGGGGAAAGAAGTTTTTTTTTTTCTTTCCTGTTTTGTTTTGCTGACACCTGAGGGATTTTATTAAAGTCTTTTACAAAAAAAGTTACTGAAGATTTGATTGAAAGCGGAGTTTAGTGAATAAGTTAGAATTAAGAGCTTGCAAGGTCTAAAAACTTGTAGTGCCTCCTGGCTCTCACTGCTTTAGTGCTTGGGGAAAACAAATCTATAGGGAAAAAATAAACAATTTACTAAAGATGATTAGCCTTCCTTGAAGTGAGTATTTGTGGATGGGTATTCCATTAAAATGTCCAGAATTCATTGTCCATCTCACACACTTTGTGAAATCTAATATATGAAGTAGAAATGAAATGAAGTAATAATTTAACAGAGTTAATTTATATTTAAATAAGCCTTTTCTTTTACCTCAGAATAATGAGGGCACCAATGGTTCGCATCCCAACTTTGCACAATCCCCGTTCAAGGGCCCTCAAGAGGGAGGGAAAGTGCTGTGCTGGAGAAGGCCCCTGTGCACCTCCTTCGCCCTGCACCATGGCTTGAACTAGGCAAGACCCTCACTGTGGTGGGGCCAGCACAGCTGAACAGGGACATCGGAGGGAGGTGGCCTGTGCCTGATGCTCCAGCTCACGTGAACCTAGGAGCTGAGATCTGACTCTGGGGTCCTTATGTTAATGATGGTGCAATACTCTTAACTGCAGTAGAGCTGAGTTGAGTGAGGACGTGGCCTCTGTGGAAGTGGACCATCTGAAGACACAGGGCCTGACGCCTCTGAGCAGTAGATTTGGAAACTTAATTTATTCTGAGTCAGTGAGAAAGAGAACCTATGCTTCATTCCCTGCCCGCTCACCCGCTGCCTGGAGGGCATTGAGGTTAGCAAGTGTTGCAGAGTTCTTTGAACATTCAGACTTTCTACCCACACCCTTTAGTCCTGTGAATTGGGTTGTATTGATGCCAACTCTGGTGCCTTAGAAGTTAGTAAGTTGGGAACCTATCTATAAAATCTGATATTTTTTTCTTTATACAGAAGGATTTCTGGTGCTTTTGTTTACTAAGAGATCGATTTCTTAAATTTTGTTTTTAACAGCCTTGAGGAATGCTTGTTTGGGCCAGTAGTACTCTGTCTACTCTTTTCTGCCCCCAAAAGTATTTTCATTTCTCTACCAAAGAAAAAGAGCAGGTTTATTAGATCTTTAGGTTATTTGCATACATTAGGGGGAGAAAAGCTTTCTCACGCAGGAAGGGATGGAGGGAGAGTATTTTCTGTGAGTGGAAAGTGTTAGCACATGTGAATGGCGTACTCAGTGTGGACCTACCTTCTGGGACTTGCTTCCTGGGACTGTAGTGTGTTCGATCTCAACAAGCCCACCATCTCTGATGTTTGTACTAATGGCGTAAATGGAGAACACAAGTTTGTTCAGAATGTACAGGTTTCATGCTGCTGCAGACCTGGTTAGAGATGTTATCCTTTCCCTCTGAGGGTCTCCTGTGACATTTTCTTCATCAAATGTGACTGCAGGACTTTTCTAGTATACGCCTTCTCTTTCATTTTTGCCTCCTCTTGCAGAATAAGAGATGTTAGTGCATTTTGTTACTTGCTGAAACTTGTCAGATTCTGAATTTAACATTGTCTTTTAAGAGATTCGATTTCTGAATAAGGCATCTGAACTGTACCAGCACAGATCTTTTGAAAACTGGATGTTAAAACTATTCAGGGTCATTTTTCTCAGTGGTGGACCGTGATGTACAGAGGAAATTCCTGGAATAAGCCATTCAACCTAAATTCTATTCTGTGACTAACCTAACTGAGCTCATGTCAGCCATGGTGTGTGCCACTCAGACACCAGGAAAGGGGCCAGGACATCACTAACAGAGCCGAGGAGAAGAGGGGAGCATTTCCAAGGCCTGCCTTCTCTCTCAGAATGCTTTAAGTGTTGATTATATGTGCTGGGTCTCTCAAGAAGTTTTCCTTTGTTACCATACTGCTGCTTCAAGCAATTTTTTTTCTCATTGTCCTTTAGAAAAATCACCAGCTTTGGCATCTTAACAACAAACGTGGATGGGAAATTTTATTTCTAATAATGCATCTCTAGAATCAAGTACACCTTTCCCCGTTCCTCCTTGCATACAACCAAAGAACATATGTGATGGAAATTGTATAATATTTCAGAATACAACTTTTTCCTCTGACAGGTGACTTTTTTACAAAAGGAAAAGAAAAAAAAAAAAAGAAACGTTTTTGTTGTTCTTTTATGACTATGGCTATACCTTTACTCATCATTGCAGTTATTCAAAGAGCCTGCTGACAAATACTAGAATAAATATCTCATTCAAATGTTTGTTGTTATGATGCAAACAAATACTGGGTTACCTAGAAGCTGGATCCCTAATACTGCGTTTTCTGAATTCTGTTCTAATGTTTGTGTTAAGATAGACATAGCTTGTACTCAATGAAATCCTGGAGTTTTGCTATGAGCAGCTTTGAAGTTTGGAAAACAAAGAAACCAAAGCTGAATATTTAAAGGAATGAGTGTGTCTGGAAAGCCTTGCTCTCAATAAAAGGACATTCACGAAAGTATAGTTTTTCTCAGTGTTCTAATTTTTTAAAAATTTTATCTGCATTTGTGCATCAATATTTCTTTATGTGCAAAGTGTACGTTTTACCTCCTTAAAATACCTAAAAGTTGTTAGCTACTTCTGTTTAATCTACACACAATGATTAAGTGCATTTAATATTGGTAATTTAATGAAAAGCATTCCTTGCCCAATGGATGTATACATTTTTGAAAGAATAAGCAGAATTATATAACATGAAATGCTATGTAAAGTTTTCTATGTAAAAATATTATGTATAATACTGTTAAAATATCTCATGCTTTAATCAGGTGGTAAATCAATAAAGTTTTAAAAAGTAAAGTTGTTTTTAAATGTAATAATTAATAGTTAAATTTCAAGCTATAATTTTGGGTTAGTTTGATCTTACAGCAGGTATAAATTTGTAGTTCTCCATTGGTATTTAGTAAATGTAATTATCAATGAGATAATATTTACTATATGTTTTAATTTTCTAACATAAAACTAAAATTCTCTTTTGGAATGGGGAATGCGATCAAAAATGGTGGGGGGAGGGAAGTGCACTGGACTATGGTGATGGTACATGGGTGATTTGGTGATGAGAAACCCATGGGGATTACAGCTGAGATTGAAAAAGGTACAAATTGATGTAAAAATAAACATATTTATATATAAACAATAAAAAAAAATTCTCTTTTAACTTTTCCCCTTGGCCTGTGAAAAGGGGCTAAAACTCCAGCGAAGATTATTATTTAGTTCTAGATCCACTTTAACTCAGTTAGTTTGACCAGTGGGTTAACTCTTAAAATCTCTCTTGCCAGTAGTAGAGACAAGATGACAGAGGATGACACAGGGTAGCCCACCAGACACTGAATGGTAGGCAGTTCTAGAGTTCCCAAAGTTGTAAATCATCATTGTGCTTAAAGTAGCCCCTGCAAAAGCTGACTAATGCATCACTGTTGTTTTCAATTTTCTAGAGTAAAACTACCCTCTGGTGTTGCATTTCAGATACTTCCAGTGAAGAACAGAGGCCCAGGCCTTTCTTTAGGGAAAGATTTCTCAAGTATCTTTCTCTCTTAAGAGCAGCTAATGCCAGGGGACTGCCAGCCAGTGGTTTTCAATTCTGCCCCTCATACTTATAACACTTGGTGATTGATTTTTAGTTCTGGAACACCTTTGGTTGTCATAGCTGGAGAGGGCCTCTAGTAGGTAGAAGCCTGGGATGGTACTGAAATATTCTTTGATATACAAGATGGCCCCCAGCCCTGAGAATTGCCAGCCCCCATGTCTTTTGTGCAGAGTTTGAAGACCCTGAACCAAAGTGACTTCCTTCCTCTGTGTCTCACAAGGTATCTTCAGCATGGTATTGTAGGATCTAGCAATCCAACTGTGGCAGATATTTTCAGCTTGCTCTTGCTTTCCTGTTAAAGTCGCTGGTTGATGAAGAGCCACCTCAACCCTGTGCAAGTGCTACATATTTAAGCGTTTTTCTAAATGACAGTTTTGAAATCACACTGCATTTGCTCTCTGCCAGGAGACTAGAGACACATTTTAGGCAATTATGTTTTCTTTTAGAGGGCTTCCCTGAAATTTTTACATCACACCTGTTTTCTTAAGAAATCTGCTGAACTACCCTTGAGTTATTTGTGTCACAACTTAGGAGAGTCTAAATTAGTAAATGAAAATCAGCACGAACAACTGGCTTGTCTCTGAATTCTGCAAGGTGCTCAGTGCCCAAAGGGCCCTGGTTTGAAATTCTAGATTCCTGAATTCTCTAGAGTCCTGCTGGGTCACACTTCCTCTTCTTCTCTACCAAAAGGATGGGGGTGGGGGGAGGAGAACTTTATTCCTCCTAATAGGCTTCCCTAGTGATCATGTGAAATGGCAAGAGGCCACCTCAATCATTGTTTAATCTTTTTTTATTTCTATGATAGCACCTCACAGCAGAGTAATAATCACCATGTATGGGATTCTTATGTGCCAGGCATTTGTCTTGCACACATCATTCCTTTTAATGATGTGTTTAACCACCCTACAAGGTGATACAGAAAATATTCTCATCCTACCCCACTTTTTGTAGGGGGTCACCTGGGGCTCAGAAAGGTCAAGGAATTTGCCTAAGGTCACACAGCTAGAGTCAAAGTCTGGCTCTAGAGTTTGCCTCTTAAAACACTGCCCCCATTTCCTTTAGGTGCTTGAGAGCCATTATCTCCTGTCTCATCTCTACTGCACTGTTGATGTTCCCTGGATAGCAGGCACAGATCTGCTGTGGGCACTGGACCCACAGGGCAGAGAACACAGCACAATACTAATACCTGTAGGCTCTGAGGAAGAAATGTAAATAGAGGTTCACATGTAGTAAGTTTAAATATGTAATGTGTCATGTCAGTAAGCATTGCAATAAAGCACTTTCTGTTCCTTCTTTTGATAAATAACGTGGTAGTACTCTGAATACTTCTCTAGCCCTCCTGCTGGCCCCCATAAAGCCTAAACCTAGCTCATTCCCGCCTCAGGCTTTGCTATTGGCATCCCCTCCTCCTGAAGCACTGGCCAGGCTGAACTTCCCACAACTGCACTCGTTCAGAGGCCGCCTCTGAACATCCGGTCACTGCCTGCCGTATTGCCTGTTCTTTCATTCTCTTTTCACAGCATTCATCAAGATCTGAAATTATCTTGGTTTATTCTTTCTCGCTCTAAAACATAAGTTCCATGAAAGAGCGTAAAGTTCTCTACCAAGACACTACAGACTTCCTATAGTTCGTGCTTTGGCAGTGAAAGCTTCTACGAGGCTGACATCAAGCCCGGACACTAAGAAGGCCAACAACAGCAGGCATTCGCTGAACCCGTGTTCATTTCAGGAAAACAGGGCTTGGGAAGCCCTTCCCAGCGGCCAGAGCCCAGGTCCCGGTGGCCAGTGACCCCAGCGCCGTCACAGACCTGCGTCGCGCTCGACCGCTCGAGAGTGGGTGGGGCCGCGCGCCTCTGGCCCCGCCCACCGCGTCGGCCCCGCTGACGCATGCGCTCCGGCGACCGCCTCGTCGCCGCGCCATTTTGCCGGGGTTTGAATGTGAGGCGGTGTGGCGGTAGGAGTGAGTAGTGCCGGCTCCAGTCCGTGGTGAGAGTCCCCTGTCCGTTCCCGTGTCCCACGAGGTAAGTCGCGGGGTGTGCACGGCCTCACGCGGTGGCCTCTTGGGACCTCGCTGTGGGAGGGAGAGACGAGTCGCTCAACCTTTCTGAGCACTGGGAAGCGATGACCGCGCCTCTGGGCGAGAGCGGAACGTGCGTCCGTGCCTCGGACAGCGCCCTCCGACTAGGCTTCTGCTTTCGCCGACGGGTCTGGTTTCCTCTCGCGGCGTCCGTGGGCGCAGGCCCAGACCGGGGCGGACCGGGGCCTGTGAGGGGCGAGGGCCGCCCGGGCGCGGCCTACCGCGGGCGGCCGAGGGGCCCGCCTCTTCCCCTCCAGCGCCGCGCGGATTGGCCGCGCGGCCTCCGAGCCGCTAGAGAAGGCCCCTCTCATTGGTCGCGCCCTCGCGTCGGCTCTCGGCGCCCCGGGCCGCCCGCAACGTGAGTTGAGTGCGGCGGCGAGGCCTGTCTGGCCGGACTGCGGGGCTGGGTCGGGGGCGCGCCGCTTCCCCGGACCCTGGTGATCCACTTCGGTGAGTTTGTGAGGGTCAGGTACGAGTCCATGCGCCTACCCAGTAACATGGGGCCCCCAGTTCTGCGGAGACGTTATGTTGTAGTGTTCCGAGCCTGAACATCTGGGTTCGTTCCAGGTAGAGCTTTTTCCCTGGCGTGGCGCTAGTTACTTCACCTCTCCCTGGGGGTCCACCGCGTTAGTACCAGGGGTACAGAATCCTGCCTGAGGTGACCATTACCCACTTTTCCACCCGTGCCCACGCCTTAGCCTCCGTAGCCCTCTCGACATGACCTTTATTTTTCTTAAATGTTCCAAGCTGACGCCCACTGTAAGGCTTTGGCATCGCTTTGGTTCGCTTGGAGGTTGCCAGCATCAGAAGTTCGCGGGGCTGGCTCTGTTTTTACATTTCTCTTGCCTTAGGCCACCCTTGATCAGCCTCACTGAAGACCGCTTTCCCACAGTTCTCCATCACCACTTACAAGTTTTATTTACTTCATAGTGTTTTGTCATTTTTAGAATTACTTCTAGTTTACTTATCTTCCCCAATCGCTGGGATGTAAGTTTGAGAGCAAGGATCTTAGAAGGTAGGTGTATGTCAAGCAGCTCATTAAACAAAAAGAATGTGGGACTTAGGTAAGTCTATCGATAATTGTGTATTGATAGGAATGTCCAAAGATAATTACAGAGAACGTAAGAGCCACCCTTCATTTAAAAGGGGAAAAAATGAAGGAAAAAAGAGGACTACAATTAAAATACTAGCAATAATTAATGCTGGGTGATGATATCACAAGTGATACTTGTTTTAAAAATAAATAAATGAATGAATTTTATATTTTCAGTCTTCTCCAGTGCCCACTGTTCTATCCAGGCAGTTGGAACAGTAAGTGCAAAGCCCTAGAACAAGTATAAGCACTGGCATCTATGAGCAGTAAGACAGGATAAATAAATGTCAGAATACATTTTTTTCCTTAAAGTGCTTTTTGAATGAACAGCAATAAATCGTCGCAGGGTAAGTTGATCATTTGCTTAACTGACAGGTGTAACCCGTTATCTGCCTTATAATGGGGCTGCTAACAACTAATAGTCTCCAATTTGGACTGAAAACTCCTGCATTAGCTTATCTCATCCATTTTAGTTAACTCGTCCATTAGATCATGCAACAAATGTTGAATGTTTGATGTATGCCAGGCAACATTGAAGGCTCTAAGCATGCAGAAACAAAAGAAATATTCAGAAGCTCTGCCCTAAGGAACTTCACAGCCTAGTGTGTATAAAGAGGTTAAGTTGAAGATAGCTCAGGTGAACTTTGTTGCTGTTAATACAGTATGACGGGGATGAGGGGGATGATAGCCGTGGGAGATTATTTAGAAGAGTTGACAGTGTGCTGACAGTTAAATAATGCCCACTCTCAAGTTAGAAGGAAGAGCAGGCAGGGACCACTGCCTTGGCTGCTTTGACGAACAGCTAGAAGACTTTTGTGATTGGAACATTCTTAAGAGTCGAGGCAGGGTGGGAGATAAGGTTTATGGGTGTTAGATTGCATGGGACTTCTTCGCCTTGGTAAGGAGTTTGGGTTTTGATTGATTTGTACAAATACTAAAGGAACATAAAGAAGATAGTGTAATGCAGGTTATTGTTATTGAGGAATATGTTTAAAAACTCAACAAAATAGATTAATTAATCTCTGTAATCCCCCAC